CACCTGGCACGCAAGGATGGGACACCCAAGCAACACTGTGTTAAACAACATAATAAGAGCAGGAGTCCTTGACAAGGACTCGTTACTACTACTCGACGGAAGAGAACTCCAACGGGCACGAAGAACATGTCTCTCCTGCCCCGAAGCCGACTTACCACATCGGCCATTCACTCCTCGTCACAACCCGAGCGCCCCCGCGTACGCACCACTCGAAAAGGTGTATAGCGACATCCTGTACAATCGAGAACCAGGACAAGTAATCTACAACTACACAATCACCTTCATCGACGCCGCCACTCGTTACGTCTGGCACCTAAACCTACCCAGCCGCAACATGGTCCTCGCAGCGTTCGCTGCTTGGCTACTAGTAGCAGAAAGAGAGTCGGGCGTAAAGCTGAAAAGCTTCCAGTCAGACGAAGGAGGACAATACACCTCTCAGCGATTCAAGCAGTATCTGGCAGAAAGGGGAATCAAGCAGCTCCTCTCTCTTCCCTACGCCCACTAGCAGCAAGGTGTAGCAGAAAGAATGAACAGGACTCTGCAGAACAGCATGCGCAAACTGTTACGTGGCATGCGGCTACCCAACCACCAGTGGCCTGCAGCAATGGACCACGCTGTCATGCTGCACAACTTGTTGTCGTCATCATCGCTTCCGAACAACGCATCACCGCATCTGCTGTGGACAGGGAAACAGGGCAGTACAAAAATGTTATGAGTGTTCGGATGTATGGTACAGTATCGACCCCCAGCAGCACGGGCGGGCCGATTTTCACAACGCGCACAGTGGGGACTACACCTCGACATCGAAAAGAATTACAACGCATGGAAAATCTTCGACGTCCACTCCAAGGAAACAGTAGCAGCACGCGACGTCATCTTCTACGAACGACTCACGCTCCAGACATACCTTGCCAACCTGCAAGAGGACCAAGATCCCACAGGTGGTTTTCGTGGCGACCGAGCCTTCGCCTCTGCAGAAGACGAAGCTCACTGGGACGAGCAGAATGTGGACAACGCGTCAGAAGAAGCCGGACCTCTTCCGTTCTGCTCCGTCGACGTTCCCATGGACGAAGACAACCCTCGCGAAAGTGTCAACGCCGAAACCTTCTACTACTTCGCCGACAACGGTTACGTAACACCTGCGACAGTCAACACCAACGAAGCAGAACGAGTAGGACCAAATTTCTTACCCGATCCAGAAGCGGGAGATGAAGCAGCTTATTCCGAGGACGCAACTCTTCCCCGCTACTCACAAACTGGACTGCAGATACTCGGCCTCGTCACCGCAGTCCACGGCAACACTCTTCCTAAGGAGCCTGCGACGGTTCAGCAGGCTCTGGGGGGGGAACACAGGGAGAAATGGCGTGAAGCCATGGACAGAGAGTTAAAGGCGCTGGAGGAACGGAACACCTGGAAAGTCGTCCCCATCAGCGTGGCAAGGAACAAAACCATTCTCACCGGGAAATGGGTCTTCCGCGTTAAAACAAAAGCAGACGGCACAATTGAGAAGTTCAAAGCACGCGTGGATTCGATCAGGAGCACGGACGGGACTTCACCGAGACATTCGCCCCGGTTAGCCGACATACCTCACTTCGAATCCTCCTCGCGATCGCCGCCATGAAGAAGAAGAAACTGCGGCAAATCGACGTCGCTAACGCATTCCTCTACGCACCTGTTGATGCCGAAATCTTCGTTGAGTTACCGCACAGCTCCCACGGAGAACCCAACCAAGTCTGCCAGCTACTCAAGTCACTCTACGGCATCAAGCAAGCCCCGCGACTGTGGCAACAGCACCTGCACGCTCGCCTCATCCCCATCGGCTTCAAGCAACTACCGCACGATCAAGGCATGTACCGGCTCACCAGATACAAAGACTACATCCTGCTAATCGTCTACGTGGATGATCTTCTCTACATAGGCTCGACTGACGGCATCACCACCTGGTTTGAAGGGGAGTTGCAGCGAGATCTCACGCTCACAGTCTCATCTACTGTCACTCAATACCTCGGCCTCAACATCCGCGAAGAAGAGGACGTGATCTACCTCAGCGCCGAAAAATATGCCGACACTATCGCCAAACGTTTTACGCTCACACCAACAGCCATCTCTACGCCATACCGCTACACGGCAGGGAACGACAAAGGAGGCTCCGCCCTACTCAAGCCCGCCGGCATACGAGACTACCAGAAGAAGCTGGGATGTCTTCTCTTCGCAGCCGTCACCTGTCGTCCCGACCTCTCATACTCCGCAAGCCAGCTCGCTACCTACCTCAAAAGGCCTGAAGCATAACATCTGGCGGAACTCGACCGCGCTCTTCACTACCTCGTCAGCACCCCGACGGTCGGCCTGACCTACCATAAGAACGCAACTACACCGCATAAGCTAATCGGTTACGTCGACGCAGATCACGCGGGCGACTCCGACAACAGACGATCGCGCATCGGCTACATCTATCGCTTCGAGCCTATCGGGCCTATCTCCTGGCAATCGAGCAAGCAAGAACTAATTGCTCTCTCGTCAGCTGAAGCAGAATATATTGCACTCTGCTCTGCCACCAAGGAAGGACTCTATCCTCGCGAGCTGCTGGAAGAAGCGAAGTTAGCCGAGTTACCCAACTTTACCCTGTTCTGCGATAACCAGTCGGCAATTCGCATCGCCAACAAGAACGGTTTTGCGAACAGGACGAAACACATCGCCCTGCGATACTTCTTCGTGAAGGATGATATCGAGAAGGGAAGACTCGTCCTGTCATACTGTCCCACGTCCGAGATGGCAGCTGACTACTTGACCAAGAAACTCGGAAAGCAAAAATTCGAATACTACATGCTGCTGACTGGACAGAGCCACGTCAGCGACACTCCAGAAGCGAAGGGGAGTGTTGGAAACAATCAGTGTTAAGCGCTTCCGTCGTGTCGAAAAACTAAGGCACAAGCGAGGTACTGCATACCGAGGCACCTGCGAGTCAACTCTAAGAGGCTGAAGTAACCGCTGGAGGTTACAGGAAAGTCAAAGGTCAGCGACCTTTGACTTGACAAAAGTAGCGTGACATCAAGGACACACAACTGACTCGATATTGAGCAGTTGCCGAGTCGCACTGTATCGAACCGCAACAGCCAACAGTAAAACAGTTATCATTCATATCTCTTCGTATTCCTTGTACTCTTATATAAACCTTTGTACTTGTTTGCTTTAATCAACTCACTTTGTTTTTACACACTAGTGCAAGGTGGTTCAAAGTCTCATCATTAAACGCTTCCGCTAGTACACCACTCTACCCAGAGATTTACCCTACCAAAGATCCTAAGGGGCTTCGCAACCCAACACATTGCTGGCTATGGCAGGCGTTTCACACTGGTAATGCGGTAAAAATGGCAAGAAAAGGCTCATTTGAGGTCGATGGATTCAGTGTGGTAGAGCTGTGTGAAGTGGAGAGCTATATGCAAAGCGTGTGACCCCACACCATACTTCTGCATCTCTTTGAATACAATCAGTCCCTTCAGATATTAAAGACAAGGTTCTGTGGTTGTTTCTTGGTAAGGAGTGATTCTTTGGATGATTTGTAGTGTATTCGTCTGTTGACGTTGATGTCGTTCCTGCCGCCTAACGTCACCTCGAAATTGGGGGCACTATGGGTCCGTGCCAGGCTGTCTGAGATATACTTGGCTGGTGAAGCACAAAGCCATCACACAAGCCTCGTGCTGTGGTCTGTTACGACTGGCTGACACCTCCAAGGAAGACGATGACAGGAGAAAATGTCTACCCTGGCAGCGATTAGATTCGGAGGAAGCTTCTCTGCTAATTTCTTTCTGTCGGTGCCTCTGTAGGGCAAATTTCCTTGCTTCGTGGCTCAAACAATCTAATGGCATGAAAATGAGAGGGTGATGCGTCCATCTACGCCACTGTGAGATTGACCGGGTTAACGTATCAAATGATACATCAATCGCAATCATCTTGTCTTTCGGAGAGAAGCCCATATCAAAGGATAACGGTATGCGGATAACTGTCCACTCAATATAAAATTTATGCTCGAAGGGACCACAAAACATCTCTCCATGGTTTGGTAATTGGCTGGCACTGAAAAGGTTTGGCTACGTAGCGACTTGCAGCAGATTTCGTTCGTTTGAACAGAATCCACGATTCAATTTGAATTTACAGCACATCATGTCTGAATTACTTTGATTGGTCTAGGATGACACATGGACGCATTCCGCTGGCGTAGCTTCCCTTGCCAGCTCCCCACGTTGCCTCGCTGGATCAAAATGATGAAGGTTGCCTTTTCGATGTCATGTTGGCGGTTCATGTGGCCGGACGTGTCGTTGATCGTTCCGTTCCTACCCAGACGCTGCTGACGAGGAGGCACTCTCAGCAATGCCCGTCGCGCGCGGCGGTTGCGGTATTGGTCCTAGATTTCCGCGTGCGGGCAGTGCCACCGCCACCAGTGAGGCAAGGTTGTCTGCTACCGCGCATGGTGGCAGTGACCTTCCGGTTTGGCCCTGCTCTTCCGCCCTCTCCCATCCCATCCATCCGCTCTTCCCCTTTTTCCTCACCTCATCCAGCCAAGTCGCGCAACACCGGTTCGAGGGAATGAAGTGAATCGTTGCGACGAGTGTGGCCCCGCCGTGTCGTCTTATCCGCGGCAGCTGGAGGGACGTTGTCCAGGGCGACGAGGGTGGTAAATTGCTAGGCTGCCCTCGCCTTTCCGCGTGAGTCGTACGTACACAGCTGCCAGTGCCACATCATCACTGCCCAACGCTCTTCCTGGTGTTCATCTGTTAGCCAGTCTGCCCGTATTGAAAGCAAGGGGACTGCTTTTACAGCCAAGTTTACTCTGGAGCACGTGCTGCTAGTTCCTGAGTCTGCTACCTGACTGACGACGTTTTAGCTTCCTCTTTTAAGGCACGCAACAGCAGGCACAACTCAGCAACAGGAATAGGTGAAGTTTTCAGCTGAGCACTCTAGCTGATCGAACCTAAACCAACACTTGCGCTTGGTTATCAACCATGTGCCAGCCTAAGTTTCTTCCGGAGCCGGAGGCCCCTACCGTGGGCTATGGAAGCAGGGTAAGCGTCACTTTGCACGGCTAAGTCCGTTGAGGTTGCTGTGCTCCAAGGTTCATGATCTGACAAACCTATCCGCTTGTGCAGGTCCGGCTTCCAACGGGCAACCGCTCGCGAACCATTTCCCTGCAGGAGCTCATGGAGCATTTTCACCTTCCGATAAACGAAGCTGCTTGCAAGGTATGCACACGGTTCGCGACATCGTTTTCGGTTTGTTATATTTTTGTGGCTGGTGCTTATCTAGTTCCTTGTATTTCCCTTTTTTTTTATATTTTTCCAGTTGGGCGTTTGTGTCACCGTGTTGAAGCAGCAATGTCGTGAACACGGAATTCAGAGGTGGCCTTTTCGGAAGGTTCGCAAGCTAGACAACATGCTTCACGCTTTAGAAAATTCCACACCTCCCGAGCGTCTGCGGCCATTCGCGCTTACGAACGGTGAAGAAGAGGTGAGGCACTCGAGGCGCTCTACTCTTGCCGTTTGTGTTCTTACTGTCGTTGCGACTTTCGCTCGGATTTCCAACGAGAAACGTCTAACAAGACAACACTGCTTTATGTCGCTTCTTCTCCTTGCAGAGAAAACGAAAGATCGATACTGTGAAGGGAGCGCTTTGTCAGCTTCTTGTGGACCCAAATTCGGCTGCTCACCTGAAGATAGGAAAGCTGAAGGGGACCAAAGCGAAGGATGTTGGCACGAGAGACTGCACATCGGCAGTTTCTCCTTCATCGTCGCGCGAGATGTCTTCCTCTCAAGCAAAATCTGCCGGGAACGAAGCGGAGATGTTGGCAAAACCGATCGCGTATTATGGCTTCGAAAAGAGTTCGGAAGAGAACGTGCACGAGTCAGGGATGGATCAAGGACCGGTTGAGCTTGATTTACTTTCCCGTGTGGGTTGCAACGAGGAGTCGGAGAACGTGAGCGCGAGCAAGTGCAGCAGCGCGAATGCTGTCTCAGGGGTCATTGACGCCCCAGCAGTAACAACGCCGGGCCTTTCTTCAGCTGAAGGCCATAACGAGTCTGTGGTACAGCTGCTTCACTCATATGAGACTGGTCCGCCTGCTTCGAAAAGACCAAGGGTAGCTTATGTCGAACCTTCAGTTACTCTGCCAGTAGCCAGAGATTTTCAGGCTGCTCCAGTGCCTACGATGCCAGTAAGCCCCTGGCCGCTCATCCAGGGCTTTCCGACAGGCCTCGTCTCCCTACCGTTTTTGGTAGCAGGCCAACCACCTGTAGCCTTCAATCCTGCGGTGACTGGTTTCATGGCCTGCAGACCTTGTCCCCCTCGTGTTTCCCTGTTCTAGAGTTTCTCCCCTGCTTTTGACCACATGACTAGCCAGTGGTCTTTATCCCTTTCTAATAAATATGAAGGTGTGCACCGTTGTTTGTGCTTGTATATGGATCTTGAACTAAGATTAAGTTTGCCTGTTCAATGCTCAATGATGAGTTGGCATTGCGAAAAAGTTTGAAGTCGCAACATGATTCAAGTTTAGAGAAGTCCTTGAGCTGTACAGTGGTTTGCAATACGGTGCCCAACGAATGATGTCTTGATCCCCAGTGCCGATCATGTAGGCCCGGCCTGGCCTAAGTGAAGGAAACAAGCATCGATTTCGCCGCGCGCCGCAGATCGGCAGTCAGTTCCGCACGGACAGAGGAACAGCTAGAGCTAATGATGATCGACAGACTAGACAGGCCATCACTGTTGAGCACCTTGGGAACTCGGTTCGGGACGAATTCGAACTACTGAGACCAGGCCGCCAGGGAATGCAACAGCAAGTTTATCGAATGGAGCTGCGGCAGTCAAGACTGAATTGTGGTAGTTCAAGAGTATAGCAGCGATGCGGGCTGTCCGATTCCGTGACCAGGCACGGTAGGCTTGCCTGCCTCTTACGAACAAAGGATTGGTTCGGGCACCATTCCCGCCGAGATGATGTACGCAGCATCCCACACGTCTCCTGGTCCGCCGCGTCGTCCACTTCCCGTCCCGTCATCGTCACCGTCTCCGTCAGGATCGACGGCATCGGCGGGCGATGGCAGGTTCGTCCCAAATCCGTTCCAGTACAATGCGCGGGTGGCGTCGGCGCTGGTACCGTGCGTGCTGGTGCTGCTGGGCGCGGGAGGGCCCGTGGTGGTTGGCACGCTGGTGGCGGGGCTCATGCTCTCGTACGTGCTCGACGCGCTGCAGCTCAAAACCGCCGCGTTCGTCGCAATCTGGACGGCATTCTTCTCCACCGCCGCCGCCATCGCGTTCTCGGGGGTCGGCTTCGCGCCACACGTGCCCGTGCCACTGTCGCTGCTGGTGCTGCTGTCGTCCGTGAACCTCGTGTTCCTGTGCGGCGTGTGGGTGTCGCTGCAGTTCCGATGGCTGCATCTCGAGCACCCCTTCGTCGTCCTCACACTCGAACGACTGCTCTTCGCCTGCACGCCCCTCACCGCCGTCGCCATCGTCACCTGGGGGCTAGTCGCCTCCGTGGGGATCGTCTACGCGCCGTATTACCTCGTGCCCGTGCTGTTCGCGCTCTTCTGGCTCTTCTCCCTCCCCGCTCCCTCCTCCTTCCGCGCCGCGAAGCACCATCCGCGGCTCCGTGCGAAGGAATCTGACGACGTGTTCATTCTCGGGTCGCTGGAGAGCGCGATTCACGCGGCCGTACTGCTGTTCCTGCCATTGAGCTTCCACATGGCGGTGCATCGCAACCGTTGGATGGAGTCAGCGGGTGATATCTGCGATGATCTGCTGCTCTTCTTCCTGCCCGTGCTCTTCCTGCTCGTCGCGTCCACCCGAGGCGCGCTGCACTGGCTCGTCCGCGACCACTCCAAGCTGCAACACGTGCGTAGCAGGGACGCACAAGGGACGTGGGAGGGACATGGGTGCACGACACGTGAGCGGAACGTGGAGGGCCTGGGCTTGACTGCTTGCTCCTCCTTCTTGCCTGCCCTCCTTCTTGTTCGTGCTCCCCCTCCTGCTCCCCCTTCTGGTTGCCCTCCTTCTCGCTCATGCTCCCCCTCCTGTTCCCCCTCCTGCCCCCTTCCCAGGTGCGTGTGGTGAACGGGGCATTCGCACTGGCAGTGGTGCTGGTGTGCGGGGAGGTGCGGGTCATCTTCCCGTCCTTCGCGCACTACATCCACTTCCCGCCGCCCCTCAACTACATCCTCGTCACGCTCGCCCTCTTTGGTCTCACCTTTGGCTTTGCTGCACACATGCTGGGGCTCATTACAGGGCTTGTGGGCACGTCCGTGCTCATGACTGTGCTGCTCGTCTCCTCAGTTGCTGCATCCCTCGTGCTTGGCATGCCCCTCACTGTGAGTCTTGCAGGCTGCTCAAAACACTCTCAATACGTGTAACATGCAAGTGTGCCCGTATATGCGCTGCTTCACTACTTCTCACCACACTAATCCCTCTGTCACTCTCTCTCCGCACTCCATCCCCTCAAATCCCCACTCTCTCCCCTACCCCCTCATTCCATCTCCCAAGACCCCTCTCTGACCATATATCCCCAACCCCACCCTCTTTGCCCCGTCGTTGCACATGCTCCTATGCGTTTGCGGTGAGACTTGCTGATTTGTGTGGCGTGTTCTTGGGGCTTTGCAGAAGGAGGAGGAAATTAAAGAGATGGGCACGGGAATGGTCCTTCTGCAGCCCAAGCCCTCCTATAACGAACCCTTTGTTCCGAAATGGCGAGGCTGGTGCGATTATAGGAGGGCTTGGGTTGGAAACTGCACGGTGGACCATTCCCGCGCGCATCTCTTTAATCTCCTCCGCTTTCTGCAAAGCCCCAAGAACACGCCACACGAGTAAGCAAGTCTCACATCAAGCGCATAGGAGCACTTGCAACGAATGGGCCAAGCGACTCACTTCATCTCCCCAACCCCACCCTCTCCCATGACCCCTTATCTGACAAGCTCTCCCCAACCCACATCTTCTCCCTCCAGCTCTTCCCAGCGTCCCCCATAGCAGCAGTCCATCTGGCACGCTTCCACTCCATCCGCTCTCTCTCCTCCCCCACTCCGTCTCCCTCACCCCCTTACTTCCCCTTCCCTCCCCACTTCCTCCCGTGCATCTCACCCCATCCCCCCACCAGATGCTCCCAGCGCCCGCCATAGCAGCAGTGTACCTGGCACACTTCCACTCCTCCCGTTCCCTGACCTCCTACCTCATATTCGCAGCAGCAGCAGCCATCGCTGCCACCTGGTTCGTGCTCGACCACTTCTTCTTCCTCGCCCTCTCCGTCGCGGGCGTGCCGCTGCGCTCCATCTGCCAGGGGATGCTCGCTGCGCTGCTGCTCGCACTGCTCGTGCCCGCCGCCACGCTGCTGCATCGGCCGCAGAGGGTGACTGGGGTGCTGGTGGTGCTGCAGGCGCTGCTGTTCGCATGGTGAGTGCGCGTGTGTGGAGTCCTGTGGTGCGTGTAGAGTCTTAAAGGCCCATTGCTTTCAGCGCTGGGAGGTCTGCTGCGCTGCTGCATTGCCTGCAGCGGGTTGCTGGGTGGGGTGCTGGTGGTGCTACAGGCGCTGCTGATCGCATGGTGAGTGTGCATGTGAAGTCCAGCAGGAGTCTGAAAGGCTCATTGCTTTCAGCCATGGTGAATGGCAAATATTGGGAGCACCTTGCACACAATGTATCTCACTCCTCTAGTTGCTTGTGTGCTTCCGTCTGTTCTCTCTTCCCCTCGCGTCATCCCGCTCCCGTGCCCCCCGCCCCCACCACCACCTCCCCTCATGCGCCCTCCTCGTCCACACCCCCCCTACCCCCCCCCAGGCTGGAGAGCCTGCTATACAACGGGGACGGGCGGGCGGAGGAGGGCGTGTATCCGAGCTTCCTGGTGGTAACCACCACGGTGGCAGGGCTGGCAGCGGTGCAGCGGTTACACGCGGAGCACAAGATAGGGGCGGTGGCGGAGTGGGTGGGGTCGTGTGTGTACCTGGCCAAGCTGCCCATGCTCGCTGTGTCATCCCCTGGCGCCACACTCTCCTCCCTGCTGCTTCTGCTTGCTGTCACCCCGCCCTTCTTCCTCTACCGGTGAGAAGGGGCTATGCTTGTTGCACTGTGAGAATACTCAATAACACTGGCTAAGCTCCCCATGCTCGCTGTCTCCTCCGCTGATACCACCCTCTGCTCCCTGCTGCTGCTGCTCGCAGTCACCCTGCCCTTCTTCATGTACCTATGGGCATTTGGGAGGGAGGGTAGACGAGGGGTTCAGGGATTATCGGGAAATCCACCCCCTTGTAGCTTGACTAGACGTGGACCATCGTGTGCCACTAGAGCCTGGTGTTCGCTCCTCTCTTGCCCAACCCCCTTGCCCGTCCTTCCCTTGCAGGGACAAGGCCCATGCGCGCTCGCGCATGCGCCCGGGAATGGCGGTGGTGCATGCAGCAGCGGCAGTGGCAGCAGTGGTGCATGCGCGCTTCATGCTATTCGACATCGCCGTGTCCCTCACGGGCCACCGCCCCTCCCACGCTCTGCTCATTGGCGCTCTGCTGCTCGCTGCCATTGCTGCGTGCCTGCCCATCCTCCTCCTCCACTTTCCCCACTCCATGGTGAGTAGTGAACGCATGTCACACGCCTCTCTCCGCATGGTACATACCGCTCTGTGCCTATTCAGCATTCACCTGCACACCACCCTCAATCGCCCACACACTTCTTCTTTCCTTCCCGTGCCACTCCATCCGTTGCTTGACACCACATTCTCAACCCAGATTACATGCACCGTCTCTCATCCCTCCCATCCGCCCCCTTTTCCTGGATTCATCCATCGCCTTCACTCTCTCCTACTCACAACACCCTCTTTCCCTTTCACCCCCTTCCCCATCCCCACCCCTCCCTCACACCTCTCCCCCCACTTCTCCCAGCCTGCAAGGCGAGCAGCAGCACTAGCAGCAGCGGGGGCAGCGCTCTTCATGTGCCTGCAGCCGCCCCTCCCCCCGGCATGGCGCACGCTGTGGGACTCGGCGCACTTCCCCGATGAGGACGACCCCAACGACTCCACCATCTACGCCCTCCCCACACACGGCCCCCTATGGCTCTATCTGCACGATAACCTCTCACTTGCATTCCCTTTCCCCCTCACCCCTCTCCCCTCTCCCCCGGCCCCCTCCCCCGCCTCCCCCCCTCAGTCTGCAAGGCGAGCAGCAGCGCTGGCAGCAGCGGGAGCAGCGCTCTTCATGTGCGTGCAACCCCCACTCCCCCCCGCATGGCGCGCTCTCTGGGACTCGGCACACTTCCCCGACGAGGATGACCCCGACGATTCGACCATCTACGCCCTCCCCACGCACGGCCCCCTCTGGCCCGCCTGGCTGCTCCTCTCCCTCATCCTCTCCGGTCTAGCTGCTTTCCTCCGCGCGATCCCCATAGGGGAGGTGGAGGCGGTGCAGGTGGGGTACGCAGTAGGCATGGGTGTGGCTACTGGTGTGTATCTGCAGGCAGAGTTCTTCCTCTTCCTGCCGCTGCTACCGCGAGCTCTCCTCTTCCTGGCGGCCATAGCAGGGGCGCTGTTTCTCATGCTGGCTCATCGGCCGCCCTCGTGGATCGCACCCCACTCGCCGCTGCTGCCGGGGCTGTTTGCGGTGCAGGCGGCGCTGCTGCCGCTCACGTACCTGGCTGTGGGGAGGGCGGCAGTGGTGGAGGTGCAGGGGGAGGGGGAGGCGGGCCAGGAGTATGACTTGTATGATGACACGCGGCGACAGGTGAGGGGTTCGTGAGGGACTGGGTGGGTGGGCATGTGGGTGTGATGGTGGGGCTGTGCTGTGCACGGGTGAGATGGGCGATTTGGATGGTTTGGACGGTCGTTTGGGGTGGCTGGGTGAGAAGCGCAGTGTGCCGTGCACAGGGTGTGATTGTGCATAGGGGCAATCAGCAAGATGGCATGTGAGGGTGAGCGTGTGGGAGGACTGTAGACTAGGTCAGTGCATGTGCCGCACCTCACAGCTGCCCGTCGCTTCCCCTTCCCCATCACCCTCGTATTCCCCATCACCCTCGTATTCCCCATCACCCTCGTATTTCCCATCACCCTCGTATTTCCCATCACCCTCGTATTCCCCATCACCCTCGTATTCCCCATCACCCTCGTATTCCCCATCACCCTCGTATTCCCCGTCACCCTCGTATTCCCCATCACCCTCGTATTCCCCATCACCCTCGTATTTCCCATCACCCTCGTATTCCCCATCACCCTCGTATTTCCCATCACCCTCGTATTCCCCGTCACCCTCGTATTCCCCATCACCCTCGTATTCCCCATCACCCTCGTATTCCCCATCACCCTCGTATTTCCCATCACCCTCGTATTCCCCATCACCCTCGTATTCCCCATCACCCTCGTATTTCCCATCACCCTCGTATTCCCCGTCACCCTCGTATTCCCCATCACCCTCGTATTCCCCATCACCGTCGTATTCCCCATCACCCTCGTATTCCCCATCACCCTCGTATTCCCCATCACCCTCGTATTCCCCATCACCCTCGTATTCCCCATCACCCTCGTATTCCCCATCACCCTCGTATTCCCCATCACTCTCCTTCCTCCCCATCAAACTCCACTCCCTCTTCCCTCCCCATCACTCTCCTTCCTCCCCATCGCCTACTTAACCCCCCACTCAGGCAGCGCACACAGCACTAATGGGCATCTACTGTGTCTACTTCCTGCTCGCTGCTCTCCTCATCAACCTCAACCTCTCCTCGCCCCGCCCCTCCTCCTCCGCCTCCTCCCTCTCCTCCTCCTCTTCTGACCCTACTGACCTTCCATCTGCTGCTAATGGCGCCTCTGCGCTGCCCCAGACCTCGCCCTTCGCCCCCAAGCATCGATCCTTCCAGGTACTTGGGCCCAACGCACTGCCTGCCTCTTCTGCATCCTCTCCCTCTCCCTCCTTCAAACATGCAACCTAGAATCCTTAGCCTCACGCCATCTCTCACACCGCTCCCTCCCTAACTTGTACCTTAATCTCCCTCCCCTCACTCCCATTCCGAGTCTCTTGCCCCTCTTCCTCAGCACTGGGAGGGAGACGAACCTGCTAACAGCTTTCACCTTACGGCCCTTCCCTTCCTTGTCGTCCTCTTGCTGTCTTTGCCCGTACCCTTCCCCGTCTCATGCAGCGACTTTCCCTGTCCGCTACTGCATCCTCTCCATCCTCTTCCAGTCCCCCCACCTCCCCCCAGCAGCGGCACATGGGTGTGCTAGCGACCTTCATCTCGCGCTCTTCATGGATGCCCTGGATCACCATTCTTGTCCTCATCCTCTCCATCTTCCCCCCTTTTTCCCCCACCACCCCAAACCAGCAGCGGCACATGGGTCTACTAGCGACCTTCACCACGCGCGCCTCATGGATGCCCCTATTGGGCAACGCAGCCACACTCGCCTCCTTCCTGCTCGCACTCTCTCTCCTCACCACCCTGGCGCAGCACGACAGTGACCTACGGGCAATCTTCCTCATCGCACCCATCCTCCTCCTCCTCAACCCCCACCTCTCCTTCCCCTCCGCCTTCTCCCACCGCCGCCGCTACTTCCCCCTTACCCTCGCCTGCTCCGCCTACCTCGTTCTCTCCGTGCTGGTAACCGTTACAGCTGAAGCAGCCACGGCCGTGCATTACTGGGGGTGGAGCTGGGTAACGCTGGGTTACAATGTAACGCAGCTGGCGTGGACAGTGGGCATGGTGCTGCTGTGTGTGCCCATGCACGTGCTCTTCAACCTATTCATGTGGGACAATGTGTGGAGGAGTGAGTATCTACTGTTGCTGCTCGCGCCAATGTGTGTACCAGCGGTGGTACTGCCAGGGGAAACGCCAGTGGTGCGGGTGGTGGGGGTGCTGGGGTTGATATATGCCTTCCTGCAGCTCCTCATCTCACGCCACGTACGTGTTGCTGGCTTAAAACTAATCTAGTCAGCTGTGAAGCCGTTTCTTTGCTCTGACCGCTGGTATGGCAAGGCAATGTGTTTTTGCGGCATTTACCTTCCCAGCCTAATTATATTGACCTGCCTTGCAGCTATAAACCATATGTACGTACATCTGTCTCGATACCCAAGATAGACACAGCTATCCATACAGATCTATTTCTTGAGCAAGTCAGATTCTGTACATGGCGCATATGCTCCCAGTCCACAACCCACAGACCTCTGCATGAACTCAAGCTGCTACTACAGCCCCACTGGAGGCTGTAGTCAAGCAGCGGGTGCACCTGCAGCTTTCCATCGTGCGCCAGGCAGGAGCACCTCTCACCTCTCCTCACCACACTGATTTGCCTTAATCACCTCAACCCATACCATATGCCCTAGCACCCTCCTAGCTGCATTTGACCTACTACAGCCCCATGGGCAGGTGCTGGCCGGCTGCTGCTCTATCTTGCTGGAAGCCGTGGTCAAGCAAGGGGGGCCCTGCAGCTTGCAGTCGCGCTCCAGGCACAAGCACCTCTCCTCACCACACTGCTTTGCCATAGCCCCTGTCACCCCGTATGCCCTACCCACCCCCTTGCTTTTGAGCTACAGCCCCACGGGCAGGTGCTGCCCGGCCGCTACTCTATCGAGCTGGAAGCCGTAGTCCAGCAGCGGGTGCGCCTCCAGCTTTCCATCATGCACCAGGCAAAAATCAGGCAGGTCTACCTGGTCTTCCCGTATGTGCTCCCATAGGAACTCCACCCGGCTCACACAAACCATGCGGGAATACAGGCTGGGGGTGGTGGGAAGGAGGGGGGGAAGGAGGGATGGAGATGTGGGTGCAGCTTGAGAGGGCATGCTGGGAGGCAGAACTGAGGCAGGAACACCTGCTCCTCCCGTACTGTATGTGCTCCCATAAAAACTCCACCCGGCTCACACACACCAGAGGGGGCAAGTGGGGAGGGTGGTCGGAGAATGAAATTGATCTCAAACGGTGTATGTGTATGTGTATTTGTATGTGTGTGTGTGTGATTTTGTGTGTGTGAGTGTGTGTGTTTGTGAGTGTGTGTGTGTGCGTGCCGGCAATAGGAATGGCAAACCACACCTTTATACAGGCAATGGTGTGGTGACTCAGAGACTCCCCTTCCCCCCCTTCCCCCCTTTCCCCCCCTTCCCCCCTCTCCTCGTCTTACTTGTCGCTCAAGCCCCCCTTGCATACCCCTCCCCCCTCACCTGTCGCTCAGCCATGGGGACATCAACCAGAGCCCGAGCCTGAGAGTCAGGCTCGGGTGTAGGATGTACACCGCCCCGACCCTCTGCTGCAGGCTCGGAGGGAGGCCTTGGAAGATGTCTCGGAAGGCGAGGAGCGGGTTGTCGTTGAGGGATTCGCACTCCGTGTGGATGTACAGGATGCTAACGTGGCGGTCGGGGTCGGCCAATGAGAAGAGCTCGTGTAGCTTGTAATGAATGTAGCGCTCCACGTGGTCTGTGGGGAAGACGTGGGCTGTTGGTGGAGAAGGGGGGGCGGCCGTGGGGGGTATATAGGACGATGGGACGATGAGGGGATGGAAAGATGGGGAGGGGATAGAGGAGCCCGGGAGATAGAGGAGAAAGAGGGGATTAGAGGGCTTGAGAGGGGAAGGGAGCGGAGAAGGTAGTGGGGAGATGTGCGCACAGGAGGGCGAGGAGCAGCAAGTGCTTGTCACCTGGGAGGTATTTGCCGACGATTCGCACGACGATGCGGCCCTCCACGTCCTCGCCCTCGTCCTCCCAGAACTGCGTTGAATCAATGAATCAACGTGCACAGCGGCAGGATGGCACCATGGAAAGGTCAGAGATGGAAGGTGAGGACCCGCGGAAAGAGGGGGTGGATATGTAGGCGCGGGGAAAGGGAACGGCGCGGGGGGAGGGCGAGGAAAGGGAAGGCAGGCGCAGAGAAGCGGAGACGCGTGCGTGCTGGCTGAGTCGTGAGCGGGAGGTATGCGGAAAGGGGAGCATGCCGCAGCGGAAAGCGGAGACGGAGGGACGGCGCAACGAGGAGTGGGGGCGACGGGGATGAGCAGCGAAGAGCGGAGATTGGGTGAGAACGGATGAGCGACGGGGATGAGCAGCGAAGAGCGGAGATTGGGTGAGAACGGATGAGCGACGGGGATGAGCAGCGAAGAGCGGAGATTGGGTGAGAACGGATGAGCGACGGGGATGAGCAGCGAAGAGCGGAGATTGGGTGAGAAAGGATGAGCGACGGGGATGAGCAGCGAAGAGCGGAGATAGGGTGAGAACGGATGAGCGACGGGGACGGGAGAGGAGAAGGGTAGGCTTGGCAACAGCGTGCGCGAAGGTGCGAGGAACCTACGCGCGTCTCTTCAATGTCCGAAAAGTCCTCCTCGGGCACGAGGGCCGCCGCTTCGGGCGGCGTGATCGCCGCGAGCTGCGTGCATGTCGGTCGCGCATCGGACGCGCCTTCGGAGATAGATTCGGCGGGCTTGGCGGTGGTGGCCGCTGACTGCACTACTCGCACCTCCATGGCTGGTCGGGACGCGTCAAAGCGAGTCCGGCGAGGTGCTTCTGGGGTGATGGAGGGACTTGACGGGAAGGGACTGGACACGACGGGACGGGCACGGGACTTCAGCAAGAAATAACCTGATGGTTATGGCGCTTTGTTGCTCAGAAAGCTACTGCGCACAAAAATTTACGTGCGATTGCTATAGCTGTAACGAGTTCGCTCTGCAATGGCGAGGTCCTTCCACTTTCGCACTTTCCACTTCCTCGCACGGGACATCCGCTGCCAGGGTCGCTTGGCGAGGATTCCGTTTCGTGGCAGCACATTGGCCTCACACAAATGTCGCCAAATTGGCTTTCCATTGCCACGCAGACCATCACCACGTGGCGTTCCCAGTCTCTGACGTCGCCTGTCCAGGAGTGGCGAAGAGATCTTCAATGAAGCTGAGGCTCCGAGCAAGTGACGTGGATTCCACAGGTTCCCTCAGGCGTGGCAGTCGGCCCCTAACGAAGCTGCCGCCATTCAATCCATGTCGACAGACTTGCGGTTCGGGAAACTACGGTGCCGAGGTATGGATATACTTTTCCGTGCGGTGACTATTGTTTGACTCTCACTCCAGTTTTTCCCCAGTCCACACATAACATCCGCTGAGTCCATTTCTTACCTAATTCAGTTACATAATAGCATCCCAGCGACCAGTACAGATTATTGTCTCTCATATCTGAATTTCCTCGGCTGTCGATCCTGCCGTTGCTGCCGTCGCTGCCGTCGCCATCGCGCCTACGCACATCCGTTGCTACGTGTGCCTCCCCACCGCGCATTTCGCTTCGCGGATCCAGCGTGCTGCTACCAACTGTAGTAGACTTGATTTGGAAGCTGGACGCGTCAGGCGCGTGTTACGGTCATCTCAACGCGTTCTAATAATCGTCCGCGATCATGGCGACGACGGCGCTCTCCACTCTGCCGCCCGGCGCTTCGAGCCGCGCCTTAATGACGAGCGGCTCGTGCAACCTCGCGTCGAAACAGAGCGTTCAGGTAGACACGCGCGACCAACCAGAGTCCAGCGCCCTACACGGTGAAATGTTTCCTCGCTTCCCGCTTCCCGCACTTCCTAGGCCCTCAGCTCACCACGTGTCGCTATCCCTACCCTAACTCTGCCCCTTCCCTGCCTCCCTCCTCCCACCAGCATCTCCTGCTTCCTCAGGGAGCGCGCATTGCTCGGCGCGCTCTGACCGCCCATGCAAGGTGAGATGCGGGGTGATGCTGAGATGGTTCCAGTAAGCATGTCGTAGCAGACCGCCGATCTGAACCGCCCTCTACCGCGCAGTGCCTCTCCGCTCTCCTCGCTGCCTCTCCACCTCTCTCACTCTCCCCCTCCGACCTCCCCCTTGCGCGTAACGATTATCCCTGTCGTCCGCATTCCGCTCGCTCCGCCATTTCTTCGTCCCCCTGAACTCTCCGCCGCCCGGCAAGCCTCGTTCACTGCGCTCAGCCCTTCAAACCTTTGTATTCCAATTTTCTTCTTTCTTTTGCTACCAATCAGCGGCATTGCTGCGTCAATGTCAGCCGTACTGACGTCAGCTGCAGTGGTGGAGGCGGAGGGGGAGGCGCAAGCGGCGGAGGGGACGCAGGGGCAAGTCCGCAAGGGGCGGGGGAAGTCGGGCGGGCGGCAGAGAGTGCAGCGGCGGAAAGGGGGCGATGGGGGGGAGCCGGAAGGCGAGGTAAGGCAGTGGTCCAGCGGTGGTGGGTGGGGTGTGTGCCCCCAGGGGTGGTAGGTGAGGCTGTGACTGATGGGTGGAGGGGCGAGTGGCTGAATGAATACATGGAACAAAAAGTACATACATAACCCACAGGATGAAGCCGGTAACAAGAATGTAATTATTCACTCCTGATTTCCTCACCTCGCCTCCTCAAATGGCACTCAAATTCCCTTCCCCACATCCCCTCATCCCCCTCGCACGGGCAGGAGGCGGCGGGCGTGCGGACGAACAAGCTGGCGTGGCTGGCGGACGAGGGCGTCATGCTCGACTCCGAGGTGCGCCCACTCATGTGGTGCTGGGGTGGGATGCGGTGCTGTGCGGTGGGGTACTGGGTTGTATGGGGTGCTGGGTGGTGGGGTGCAGCATGCAGTTGCCGTGGGTGCGAGCACGCATTGCTGGCGTGTGGCTGGCGGACGAGGCGTCATGCTCGATTCCGAGGTAAGCCATGTGCCGTGGTGGGATGCGGTGATGCGTGGTGGGGTGCTGCATGGTGGGGTGAGGTCGGGTGAAGCTTACCGCCCTGGGCTGGGCTGTGTGTGCTGCCATGCAGCCTTCACACTGAGTATTGCGAGTCATCGCACAAACATTCCCACGCCACTCCCCATCCGCACACTCGCTCTTCGCCTCTCCCCTCCCCTTCATAGCCTTACCTTCACCCCCCCCCCTCTCCCTCCCCCCTCCCCCCACTTGAGCAGCGCACGTTGGCGCGGGTGAATCGCGCCATAGCGCGGTGCTCGTCCGTGAAGGAGGCGCTGGGCGTGGTGGAGGAGATGAAGGCCAAGGGCCTCAACGCCGCCAATGAGGGTACGCCACGTGGCACACCTCCCACTGCCACCTGCAGGGGCTGTGCATGGTTTGGGACAGCTAGAGCTGAGAAGGCCTGGTATCGTCCTTGTGGCCGCGTTTCTGTGATGAATGAAGACTGCCCACGAATGTCACATTGATCAGATGAGAGGCTTAAGACGCACACACACACCCTGCACGGACAAGACTAGCGCACCTCCTCTAGCCCACTGTCTTAGCGAATTCCCTTTCCCCTTCCCACATACCTTACGCCTTTCTTTCCTTCGCCACACCCCTTACTCCTCCCACCTCCCCACCACCCCCCAATCCCCCTCACCAGGCACGTACCAGGCGCTGATAACGGTGTGCAGGAGGCAGCGGCAGGGCGAGAGGGCGCTGGTGGTGTATGCAGCAATGAAGCAGGCGGGCATGGCGCCGGGCATGCTCACCTTCAACGCCCTCATCTCCTGCTGCCACCAGGCTCAGCGATTCGAAGATGCTTTTCGCCTCAAGGTGGGTGTGTACGTGTGGGTGGGTGTGGCACGTGGCGAGGGTGTGTGCAGCATGGGGTCAGTGTAGGCCATGAGGCATGCTCACCCTCAACGCGCTCATCTCCTGCTGCCACCACCCGCAAAGATTCGAGGATGCTTTTCGCCTCAAGGTGCGTGTGCATGCAGCAGGCTGTGCAGGGTTGCAAATGTTGAAGTGCTCTGAATTCTGGCAGTGCGGCACACGGTGAGCTGTGATAGCGCCTCTGTGCGGAGACGATTTTACTGGGTGGCGAGCAGCATTTCGGGTTGCACGCCACACTGCAGCTACTGCTGAGAGCTACCCCGGACGCTGTCCACTGCTCTCGCACCCACTCTGCTCTCCCTCCTCTCCTCTCCTCTCCTCTCCCCCTCCACTCTTCCTTCCCCATCCCTCTGCCCATCTGTCCCTGCACCTGTCCCCATGCGTCAGGCGGACATGGAGGCACAGGGCTTAAAGCCCGACGTGGTCACATACACATCCCCTATGGCCACTCTCACTTCCCACCCACACCTGCTCGCCCTCCTCGCCTCTCACCTTCAACGCCCCCCTCTCCTTTCACATCCACCTGCCCCCATGCAGGCAGACATGGAGGCACAGGGCTTAAAGCCCGACGTGGTCACATACACATCCCTCATGGCGCTCGTGGTCAAGACCGGCCCCTACCGCGGCCGCTCCTCTCCCTCCCAGCGGTGAGTGCGCCCCTCCCGCTCCTACCTCCGCTGAGCCCCGGCACTTGTTAGCCTCTCCCGCTCACCACAGCGCAGTGCTGCAGTAAGTGCATGTGTCGTGTAGCGCCTGCATGCGAGATGTGAGCTGTTTGCTAAGATGAGCGGGCATATGTGAGTGAGCCATGGACTTGCACCGCAATCATGCAGTGCAGCCAGACGCCATCACAGTCAGGCACCACAGCCACCATCGCAGCTCACTCATGCCTCCCCAGCACAACTCGCTCCCTTCAATTCCCATGCTCGCGTCCTTTATTCTCACTGCCATGCCTCGCAGATTTGAGCAAGCAATGGAGCGGTACCAGGAAATGAGATCCCCAGAACGGGCAGCGCAGCCAGACGCCATCACATTCAACATGGTCATGTTCGCTCACCTCCTGTCCATCCCCATGCGCACGTCCTTCAATTCCCACTGTGATACCTCGCAGGTTCGAGCGGGCCATGGACTTGTACAGGGAGATGCGCTCCCCCGAGCGGGCAGTGCAGCCGGACGCCATCACATTCAACACGCTCATGTTTGCCGCCGCCCAGGCAAAGCTTCCTGGGAAGGTGCTGGAGGTGTACGGCATGATGGTGGCGGACGGCGTGCCGCCCAACCAGATCACGTTCGGGATTCTGCTCGAGGCCGTGGGCAGTGGCGGGCGGCTCACTGCTGCCCTGCAGGTGTGTGTGCATCCCAGAAGGTGGTAGGCAGGGCGGGATGGAGGGAAGGAGGAAGAAGAGCATCTCCAAAGAAGAAGCATTGCAGAGGGGCGTGGGGAGGTATGGATGGGAATTCATTCAGGTTGCGTTGAGAGGCTGGGATGGAGAACTGAAGAAGGGAGTGAAGGGTGGATGGAAATGCTGGAAACTCTACTCAACCGCTCCCCATACTCATCGGCTGCTTTCTGCCCTGACCCCTCTGTGCGCAGGTGTTCAACGAGATGCGGGCAGCAGGCATCCCCCCCACCACCTCCACTTTCAACTACCTCATTGATGCCTGTGCCACCGCTCCCCGCCCTGACGTGAGTGCTCACACACCGTTCCCCACCCCTCTGCGCTCTGTTATTGCTCCTTGAGTAACCTTTCCCCACCCCATAACGCTCCCCCCCCAACCACCTCCCCATTCAACTGTCTCACTGACGACTGCACCACCGCTCCCACGCCTGCCCTGCCTCAAACCTGACCTCAAGCCTGACGTCGAACCTGACCTCACACACCTGATCTCCAACCTGACGTCAAACCTGATCCCCAACCTGACGTCAAACCTGATCTCCAACCTGACGTCAAACCTGATCTTCAACCTGACGTCAAACCTGATCTCCAACCTGACGTCAAACCTGACGTCGAACCTGACCTCACACCTGATCTCTAACCTGACGTCAAACCTGATCTCCAACCTGATGCCTCGAACAGCATTTCCCCCCACCACCTCCACCTGCATCTATCTTGTTCGTGCTTGCTCCACCACGCCCATGCTTAGTGCGAGTCAAACCACCCAACCGCCCACACCTCTGATCTGATAACCTCCCTGCACTGGTGCTAACCCCCCTGCACCCGAACCCCTTGCCTCTGCACCGTCCCTGTGCTCCTGCAGGCGGTGAAGGCCTGGAGCCTGTTCTCCGAGATGGAAGCTGCTGAGAACGTTCGTCCCAACGCAGAAACGTTCAACCTCCTCATCAACGCCTGCACCAAGGTGGGCAACAGCTTTGAGTTCCAGGTTGAATGTCTCGGAATTAAGGTTTGCGGTTTAGGGTTTAGAGTCTTGAGGATCGCTGTTTTGGTGCTGTGATCCCACTCCCTGTCCACCTGTGTGTGTCTCTGTGTGTATCGCTGCGTGTGTCTCCGATGCGCCGCGGCAGGCGGGCGACCACGACATGACGAGGGAGAGGGGGTACACGAGAACCATCACCACCCCTACCTTCAACAAGCTCATCCACTCCGCTCATCTCTCCCTGCCTCTGTCTCTGTCTCTCTGTGCGATCTGTGTCTGTCCCTGTCTGTGTGACTCTCTGTCTGTCTGTGGTGTGTCTGTGCAGGCGGGCGACCACGAGGGGGCACTGAAGGCATTCGGCATGATGAGGGAGAGGGGGTACACGCGAGCCATCACCACGTCCACCTTCAACAAGCTGCCTCGGCGATGTGTGCCTCTCTGTCTGTCTGTGGTGTGTCTGTTCAGGCGGGTGACCACGAGGGGGCCCTGAGAGCATTCGGCATGATGCGGGAGAGGGGGTACACGAGGGCCATCACCACGTCCACCTTCAACAAGCTCATCCACTCCGCTGCTGCCTCCCCCTCCGCCTCCACCGAAACCGCCTTCCAGGTACGCCCTCCCCTATTGCGTGTCTTCTAGGTATGCCTCGCACTCAGGTACGCCCTCCCCTGTACGCCTTGCTTCCAGGTACGCCCTCCCCTGTACGCCTTGCTTCCAGGTACGCCCTCCCCTGTACGCCTTGCTTCCAGGTACGCCCTCCCCTGTATGCCTTGCTTCCAGGTACGCCCTCCCCTGTACGCCTTGCTTCCAGGTACGCCCTCCCCTGTACGCCTTGCTTCCAGGTACGCCCTCCCCTGTACGCCTTGCTTCCAGGTACGCCCTCCCCTGTACGCCTTGCTTCCAGGTACGCCCTCCCCTGTACGCCTTGCTTCCAGGTACGCCCTCCCCTGTACGCCTTGCTTCCAGGTACGCCCTCCCTTGTACGCCTTGCTTCCAGGTACGACCTCCACTTTACGCCCTCAACTCCCATTCCTCACCCTCTCACCCATCCTCCTACCCGTCCTACCCCTCTCCCCCTTGCCCCTTTTCCATTTCTCCCTGCCCTCCCTCACAGCTATACAGCCAGATGCGGGCAGAGGGCCACAGGCCAGACGTGGTAACCCTGGGGACGCTCATCACAGCATGTGGCAAGGACGGGGACGCAGCGCGCGCCATGGCGGTGAGGCAGGAGCTAGAGGCCGAGGGCGTGCCGCCCAACGCCGCCGTCTTTCACGCGCTCATGGCCGTGCAGGGCCGCGCTGGCTTGTGGCCGGCGGCGCTCGGCACGTTCCGGGAAATGCAGGGCCGGGCGGCGGAGTGGGAGCAGAAGGGGAGCGGCAGCACCACGGTTATTGGTGGCCCCAGAGAGGTGAGCATGGAGAGCTTGTATGGCCTTGCTGGGAAAGGTGAGGGTATCTGAAGCATGGGATATTTTTCTCCAGCTAATCAAGCTGTTTTGAAAGACCAGCATAATGCCCACGCATAAATCCCTGTTTCTACCCTGTCTCCTCCCCTCAGTCCCCCTGTCCTCCAACCCCTCTCCTCGCCACCTCTCTTGCCGGTCGGTCCTTGCATGGCTTGGCTTCACCAATTGGATCCGCCCCTCATTCCCTCCCCCTCCCCCCTACCCGTGGCCTCGCTCGTCTTACCCCCGTCACAACCAGAACCCCCTGGCACCAACCCTCCCGGCGTACACAGTGCTGTTTGACGCGTGCTTTGGGCCCGAGGGGGCAGAACAGATGGGTCCGCCCCTCATTGTCGCAACCCTCCCACATGCCTGTGACCTCGCCCGTCTCACCCTACCCCTACCCCTGCCCCAACCAGAACCCCCTGGCACCAACCCTCCCGGCGTACACGGTGCTGTTCGACGCGTGCTTTGGTCCCGAGGGGGCAGATGCAACAATCAAGGGCCTCGTGGAAAAGGGGTGCAGGCTCTCCCTCACACCGGGTGAGCTCTGAGTCTCCATGCCATGCTTACAACCTCGCTTCCTTTCCCCTTCTCCTTCTCGTTGTCAAGCTTATACTATACCGTTCAACCGGCCCCATCCAGTCCCTCCCTCCCATGTTCTCTCGCCTCACCTAAGCTTCTCTCGCCTCGTCTGCCACTCCCCCACCCTGTCTCCTCCTTCCCCCTCGCCCTTACTCCTGCCAGCCCTGGCAGCAGCGGTGGAGGTGTACAGAGAGGCAGCACAGGCGGGCGCCTTCGCGTACTGCGCGTTCTGTCACCTCATCTTAGCTGCTCCTCTTCGCGCTTACCTTTCTGCCACTCCCTCCCTCTTCCCCCCTTTTCCTCGCCAGCTCTGCTAGCAGCGGTGGAGGTGTACAGAGAGGCAGCAGAGGCGGGCACCTTCTCGCACTACGCCCTCTCTGATGCCTACAGGTCAGCACCTTCTGCTCTCTGCATACTCACCCACCCATCTGTACCGCGCCGTTTTAACGACATCTCATTCCGTCATACTCCACTGCAAGCACCGCTGCCGCCTCCCTCCCTTACCTCCCCCTCCTAAGCTTGCTCCCCTCCTTCCTGCTCCACGGCCCTCCATCATCCCTGCGCCCGCTTCATTTCCCCCCTGCTCCACACACTCCCCCGTACACGGCGTCACATGTGTGATGTGCGCAGCTCCACACTCCCCGTGGCCTGCTGCACCTCGCCCCTGTTCCCCTCCCTCACCATGTCCCACGTATTTTTGAGTCGATGAAACAGGTCGCCTTGACTAAACAATCTGCTTATATCCTACATGATTTTCCCACCCTGCATGGCCTCACAGGTGTGATGTGCGCACTTCTACTCGTCCGGTGGCCACCGTGGCTCTTCTCTCCCTCCTCATGCACCTCACCTCTCCTGCCTCTGCTCATGCCGGTGCTGCTCCTGCAACTTCCCAAGATAGTGCTTCCGCTACTGCTGCTCCTGCACCTGCCGCCGCAGCTGCCACTGCAGGAGCCTCAGCTGATGACTCGTTAGTGCGCGACTTGGCTATCGTTACAGGAATGTCGCGGGCGAAGGTGAGCTGATGTCCACACCATCAAGCGTATATCACAATGATCCAAGTTTCACTTCTACATCTGCAGCATCTCACCCTCCTATGGTACACTACACACCATGTGAACATCCACCATCAATCATTCTTCCCTATGCCGTGTCTCTCATCTCATCTCATCCCTGTTCCCACATGCAGAACCAGCCGATAGGAGAGGCACCGAGGGGCAGGTTTCCGAAGCTGTTTGTGAGTGTGGATCGGACGCTGCAGGCGGTGGGGCTCAAGGGCAAGAGCATGCGCGCGCTCACCATGCAAGCGCTGTCTGTGGACGGTCAACAGCTCGCGCAATGGCTCAAGAAAGATGCCGCGGCTGTGTTTCCCGAGTTGAGGAAGTAGAAGTGGAATATTTGATTTGGATTGTTGAAAGGGGCTGCAAGAAGTTCCTGTGTCTTCAATTGGTGATTTTGTGTGTCAATATTAGTTATTTGTTGTAAAACGTACAAAATCTACGCTGTTCGCAAACCATTCTCCCGCGGTCACAATAATGAACTAGGATGTATGACTGTAACGCGTACTCTGCCAACACAAAACCTTGCGAATTTGCGTTGTCCTGCGGTCACAATGATGAACTAGGATGTATGACTGTAACGCGTGCACTGCCAACACAAAACCTTGCGAATTTGCGTCCTGATCTGCGCTCGATCAGCAGAAATGGCCGACTCATGGCAGAGAGTGTCTCGGGAGTATCGCGCTGCGGGCATCCTGCCGTACAGCTTCGACAGCGACGGTCGGCTGCTCTTTCTGTTCCAGGCAGAGGCGAGCAAGAAAAAAGCGCGCGCGCGGAATGGGGTGCGGGGGAATGTGCAGCGAGGGAAGGGGGCAGGAGGGGATGGAGCAGTAGCGGAGCGGTTAAGACGGGGCGAGAGCGAGGAACGGGTCGAGCACGAGCGCGAGGAGCCGGAGCGCGAGGAGCCGGAGCGTGAGGAGCGGGAGCGTGAGGAGCGGGAGCGTGAGGAGCGGGAGCGTGAGGAGCGGGAGCGTGAGGAGCGCGAGCTGCAGGGAATTGTGGAGGAAGAACGTTCCAGTGGTGGCGCAGAGGACGCCGCTGGCGGCGCTGACGGCGCCGTTGGCGGCGTTGGCAGCGATGGTTCCGATAGCCGTGTTAACGCTCGTGGGGGTGGCGATGGCGGTGCGGAGGGAGACGGCGCGAGAAGCGGCGATGAGGGCGCTCGTCGCTTGACGTGCGTGGAGGCCCGTTGCGGGGAGGGAGGCTCGTGCGCGGGAGGCGGGGGAAACGCGCAAGGATGTTCCAGTGCCCCGCGCGGAAGGGAAGCGGACGAGATGATCGGCGCGCGGAAGGAGGAGGAACGTGGTTGCGAGGGGAAGGATGAGGGGAGCGGAAGGGGGGTTGCGGAAGTGGAGGGCGGGAGAAGGAATGAGTGCGGCGATGCGGGGCGAAGGGGAGCGGAGAAGAGTGGGAGAGGAGGGGAAGGAGGTAGGAGGAATAGGAGAAGAGAGAGGAGGAAGAAGGGTGAACGAACAGGAGAGAAGGGTACAGGTGTTGAGGATGGAACGCAAGGGAATGGGCGAGAGGAGAGTGATGAGCGAGAGAGCGAGCTGGAGGATGGGACGGAAAAAGGTGAGCAACAAGGGAATGGGAAGCAGAGGAAGGAGGAGCAAGGGGCGGGGCAGCAGGGGAAGGAGGAGCAGGGGAAGGGGAAGAAGGGGGTGGGGGATCAAGGGACGGGGCAGCAAGTGAAGGAGCAACAAGCGAGGGAGGAAAGGAGGAGGAGGAAGCAGCAGGCACGTGAGCTGAAGGCGGAAAACAGGAGGCAGCAGAGGGAGAGGCAGAAGCAGCAGAAACAAGAGAGGAGGAATCGGAAGCCGGATCAGCAGAAGCAGCAGCAGCTGCAGCAGCGAGGGCGCGTGGGGCCGGTGTATCTGATGGACTTTGGCGGCAAGATAGAGGATCAAGACAGCCATGCACCCACTCTCACCGCCGCCCGGTGAGCAACGCCCCTGCCCTATCCTCCCCTCTCTGCGCAGCCCTGCCCCGCTGTGCCCTGCCCTGCCACGCCATGCCATGCTGTGCCCCGCCCCGTCCTGCCCTCCCTGTGACATGCGTCCCTTGTGCTCTTCTCCACCCATCTGTCCCCTAGCCCCATGCTAAGCCTGGTGCATGCCTCGCGTCCCAACTCCATCTCATGCGCACCATCCTGTCCATACCACTACCCTGTTCTACTTTACGTGTCATAGTTTTATCCTTTCCCATGTGACTCTATGCAATGTGTGCTTATTGCGCAGGGAGTATGTGGAGGAGCTTGAGGCTGGCTGCGAGAAGCTGGAGGGCGCCATGTGGCAGAAACGCGTCACTGATGTGGCAGCAGCTCTGGACCAATCAGAGGCGTTCTATTGCAAGGCTAGCAAGTATGTTCTCTTCCTGTGCGACGAGAGGAGTCTCAGGGATGGCAGCAAGGATGTGACATTAGGCAGTGTGACTGAAGGTGAAGTTACTCTAGATGGCGTGACTACAACTAGTGCATCTTGTCACTCCGGCACAGCTGAAGCAGCAGCAACAGCTCCAACTGCCGCTCAGCTAAGCAGCAGGTGGGTGGAGGCATCAGCTGTGGTGGATCATCTCTTAAGTAAGAGCCGGCTGCAGCCGCCTCTGCATCTGCGTCTCTATCCTTCCGGCCCTATGGGAGGCGTTCCGGCATTCGTATATCACATCTTGAGGCTTCAAGTAATCGGTGCTCCTTCTGGCATTGCCTGTCTCCCTGCATTAAGTTCGGTCGAGTTGCCATGCTCCATCGATACCTCAATCAGCTCACCATCACTGGAGAAGGCTTTACAACCAGCGCTTGCAAGCTGAAGTTAGTCCTGACTGCTCTCTCACAACCTCACTGAATCCTGTACTCAGTTTATGTTCAACTGCATCCGTAACCCATTCACTCCACTGAAATCAAGTGGATATCATTTATAAAACAGCTTTCTTGATTAGAATTGTTGGATACTGGTACAGATTGAGATCCCAAAATAATAAACCACGCACTGATCGGACTTACCGCATGAGATTGTATTGTAAGGTGTAGAAGGATCTATTCGAAAAGCAGTATATCCTACGCTGCATTTAGCGAGGATGAAGGGGTTTCAGGACCAACTTGTTGTCGTCGTGCAATTAACAGCTGGCGGCCACCTGGAGACAGTCGCTACATTATCGTTTTGTGTGACGTGGCGTGTCAAATGAATCCTCTCAGGTGCACCAGCAGTTCCGCAGTGGGCCAGTGGCCCAAGGGTTCACGTCCGGACAAACTAAGTGCGCGCATTCAGCTGCGTGTCTCGTGCAGGTTCACCGTTCGTGCAGGTTCACCGTTCTCAACTTTTCTCAAGTGCTGACGGGATTCACCTCAGCCACCAATCACAGCGCCGTACGGCGAACCAAGCAGTCAAAGTACATTTTCTTCCAATCCCTGCCGTACAGATTGCACGTCAAGTGCACGAATGCCCTTTCTCAGAGCCAGGTGAACCCTACACTTCGTTCGCCTACTGCCTACAGGCTACATCCCCCGCCCCCGACGCTCGGTCCGTACCGTACCGTGTACACTTTGTTTGCCCTAAAGATTACCACCAAATTGCGAGAATTGAAAGGGGCGTTTTCTCAATGTTGGGCGTTCCTTACCTTACATTTCTTCAGGAGGATTTCCTTCCCGCTGGTTGTGTCTGGAGCTCGTCTCTTGACTTTCCTCCAGCAGCGTCGCTTCTCACATGGAGGTCCTTAGCGGCACGTTCGGCGATCCAATGAGCGGCATTCGCAACGCGGCTGAGGCCCGAGCGGAGATTGCGCGAAGAGTCGTTTCTAACTTGCGATCCAGCGCACATCCCAATCTTTTCGCAGAATCTAACGAATTTTCCGACGTAGGAGAATTCGCCGACCAGGCAAACTGGATCGACTCGGGTCGCTTCGACGAAAAGCTTCCACCGGAGGGGGTCGGCCATGCGGAATGTCTGGAGAGCGGCGCGCCGCTGAGGCGAGGCAAGTCGCTGGGAGCGCCGAAGCAGAGCTGCCACGCGGTCAGCGGCGATACGCTGTCACCCATGTCCCCGCGCCTTATTTCCGAAGCCAACGTATGGGAGGATTTCTGGCATGTTGGGAGTGTTGCCGGCGCCGGGGAAGACCTAACGCTTGTAGCGCGCGGGGGTGGCGCGCGGGAAGAGCTAGCACGGGTGGCGCGCAAGGTCGTGGCTTCCGCCACTGCCGCTTCTCCGCGCTCTCGCCGTGACTCCCCGCCGAGCGCGGCGGAGAACTCGGCGGAGCGGGTCGAGGGCGAATCAGACCTGTACGGCGTGGATGCATCGGCCAGGACTGATAACCTTTACGGTAGGCGTGGTGATAGCGAGGAGTGTTTTATCGGGGATGAAGATTCTCCCCATTATGTGGGAACAGGAGAGTGGAAAGCAGACGGGCCGGGATTTTCGACGGGGGAGGAGGAGAATGTGAGAGGCGGCGGTTACGGTGGCGAGGAGGGTAGTGAGAGCGGCGGAGTGGCGGAAGGCGAGGGGGATTTGTACGGTGACGAAGAGGAGGGCGCGGAGGATGCGGAGGACGCGGAGCAGAATGACGAGGCGGATATTAACGAGGATATGTATGGCGGTGGCGGCAGCGACGGGGAGGGGGGATTGAGCGCGGCGGAGCGGGGAGAGGGGGGCCTGCGCGGAGGCGAGGGGAGTGGGGCGGGGGAAGGAGTAGGCGGGGAAGAAGAGGGCGAGGGGGAGGATTTGTACGGCGAGTGCGGCGATAGTGACGCGGGCGAGGGGGAGGAGCAGGTGTGGGGGGACGACTGGGGCGGTGACGCGGGCGACGAGCGGAGATTAAATGAGGGGGATGAGGAGGAGCGCGAAGAGGGAGGGGAGGACGGGGGAGGGTTGGGCGGAGATGGGGATGCGTATGGGGGGTGGGAGGGGGAAATGCACATGCACATGCAGCAGTGCGAGTGGGAGGCAGAGGAAGGAAGGGTGTGGGAGGAGGTGGGCGCGGGAAGTGAGAGGGAGAGGGGCCAGGGGGAGCGGGAGGCGGGGGAGGAGGAGGAGGAGGAGGAGGAGGAGGAGGAGCAGGAAGGAGGGGGGGAAGCAGGGAGTGCAGGGGATGGGAGTGCGCTGGTGGTTTCACCTCCACGCTCCCTAGAGTCGTGTGCGGAGGAGACCCCCTGTTTGAGCACGCTCTATCAGCAGCTGTGCCACGTGGGAGAGCGCGCAGCAGAGGAGTACCCTGGCTCTGAGGATCTGTACGACGCCACGTCAGCACACGGCGGTGACACGGCAGAATTGGACGAGGGGGCAGCGGGCAGAGAAGGCACGGCGGCAGCAGAGGGCAGCCACAGAGTGGGGCGCCATAGCGGCCTGCCCCATCCTAGCTTGTCCCATCCTACCCTCCCGCATGCTGCCGCCCCGCCGCATGCCGCCCTGCCACATGCCGCCCTGTCGCACGCCGTCCTGCAGGGCTTCCGGCAGCGGGTGCGCCTCTCATTGGACGTGGAGGTCGATGCTGACTCATCCTACCTCGCTGATGACGTAAGCGGTGACGACTTCGACTTACCTAGCGAGGATGCTAGTAGCGAGGTGCAGGGCAGCGAGGGGGGCGTGCCGGGCGGGGCAGCAGCAGTGGCGCGTTATCTGGTGGCGTGCGCTCGTGACGGCGCTGATGGAGGCGATGATATCAATGGGGGCGACAGAACCATGAGAGGCATAGTGGAGGGTCACAGTGAGTGTGGCAGTCCTGCACTGCACCCCGCATTCGATGGCGCTGGCTCTGGCTTTGATAATGCTGCTGCTGGTGCTGGTGCTGGCGGTGGTGCATGTGACATCTACGTGCATGTGCAGCGCACACAGGGGAGCGAGTGCGAGTCCGGGGAGGAGCTATTGAGCCACACGCTCAGCGGCAGCAGGGGCAGCAGCGCTGGAGAGGAGGCGCATACTGCAGGGGTGGGTGCAGCAGGGGTGCGCATGGCGCTGCATGGAGACGGGGCGAGTGGCTTGGCAGGGCTTGGTGGTGTGGCGAGTGGCACGTGGCATGTGGGGCGGAGCCCACTGGGAGGAGCAGGCCGGCAGCAGGGCGAGGCGGTGGGAGTGGGTTTCACTGACCCAGTGCAGAGCGTGGGAGTGGGTTTCAACGACCCGGCACAGGGCGTGGGAGTGAGGCAGTATGACGGTGCTGCCTTGCACTCCCATGGCAGTCTCAGCCCGCACAACCGCAGCCCACACGACCACAGCAGCCCTCACACGCACACCAGTCCGCACAGCAACGTTAGTCCGCATGCTTTTAGCAGCCCGCAACACATGAATAGCCCCCCCAGCAACTTCAACACGCACACCAATGTCAGCCCCCACACCAACAGCAGTAGCCCTAGCACTTTTCAAGGGCATTCGAACCGTCACGGTGTGCCAGTATCGTCCCTCTCTCCACACGTCCTGCCTTCGTTGCACGAGGGGCACGAGACAGCGCAGATAGGGCAGCATGCTTGGCAGCACAACTGGCAGCACGAACCGCAGCAGCAGTGGCAGCAGCAGCAGCAGCAGCAGCAGCAGCAGCAGCAGCAGCAGCAGCAGCAGCAGTGGCAGCAGCAACAGCAGCAGCAACAGCAACAACAGCAGCTGCAACAGCAGCAGTGGCACCAGCAACATCAGCAGTGGCAGCAGCAAGCAGAGATCCAGCAGCAGCAGAAGCAGGCAGCACAAGTGTCGGTGTCTCCCACATCTCGACTGGCCCGAGCACTCTCCATGCAGCCTGCTGCCTCCTCTGCTGCCTCTTCCTCTGCTGCTGCTGCGGCTGCTGCCGCTGGGGCACTGAATGGATCTGCACCACAAGCCCAGCACTTCCCCCGCAACTCCCCCACCAGCGCGTTTGCAAGCACCGGGGCAGCAGCAGCTCGTCTGGCCCGCACAACCTCAATGCAGCCTGCTGCCTCCTCGACTGCTGCTACTGCTGTTGCTGGGGCACTGAATGCCACCCCTCCACAAGCCCAGTACTTTCCCAAAAACTCTCCTACTGGTGCGTTCACACATGCTGCAATCACCGGGGCAGCAGCAGCAACTCGACTGGCCCGCACCACCTCCATGCAGCCTGCCGCCTCCTCGGCTGCTGTTGCTGCTGGGGCACTAAAAGCAGCTGCAACGCAAACTCAATACCTTCCTGGAAACTCCCCAACCGGTGCGTTCACACATGCTGGAGGCACGGGGCCAGCAGCAGCAGCTCGTCTAGCCCGCACAGCCTCCATGCAGCCTGCTGCCTCCCCCTACCCCGCTGCTGCTGCTACTGCCACCTCTCCGTATTCCACTGCTGCTGCTGCTGCTGCTGCTGCTGCTGCTGCTGCTGGTGGTTCTCCCTTTTCAGCTGCAACTATTGCAGCGGGGGCAGTGCAGGGCGGTGCAGCCCTCGGCAAGCAAGTGCCTGGCAATTCACCCACCGGGGTCTTTGCTCGTTCAGTGAGCATGGGGGCAGCAACGCAAGCGGTGCCGGCAGCAGGCAGGGGTGGGGGTCAGGCCATGCGGGGTCTGCAGGTGGAGCTGCCGAGGAATGTGGGTAAAGGTGGCGGCAGGAACGCGAGCAGCACCAAAACCACAGGTGGCACTGGCAAGAAGGCGAGCGGTAATTTGGCAGGTGCTGGTGGTGCTGGTGGTGGTGCAGAGACAGGGAGCAAGGCTGCACTGAGCAAGTCCCCCTCTCGTGCTCGCCTGGCCTCGTCCCTCTCCCCGCCCTCTCGCCGCATGAATGAGCTTCTCTCCTCCTCCACCCTGCCCCGGGTCCCGGTAAAGACACCCAAGGGTGAGAAGGGGGGTGGCAGTGGGAGTGGTGAGGGTGGGATTGGTCAGGGTGGGGGTGGCAGGGGCAAGGGTGGGGGAGGGGAAGGTGGTGGTGGGGTAGGCTACACCACAGGAAGGTTGCTGCAGGCAGAGCAACAGAGGAAGCGGCAGCAGCGGCAGCAGAAGGTGCAGCAGCTGCTAGGGAAGGACAGTCCAAACAATGCCACCCGAGCCAACTCCAACAACGCTGGAGCAAGCAGCACTGCCGCCATTCCTGCCGGCAACAGCAGCAGCACTGCTGCGTACACTCGCTCTGCTTCTCTCGCTCGCAGCACCTCCAAGCTCATGCGAACAGCCTCTGCAGTGGGCGCACAGGAGAAGGCCGGGAAGAGTGGTGCCAGTGGTGGTGGTGGTGGTGAAGGGGCAGGAAGAGGAGGGGCTGCAGCAGCACTTGCCAGGAGTAACAGCACTGTCGCTGCAGCAGCACTTGCCAGAAGTAGCAGCACTGTCGCTGCAGTGGCAGCAGGAGCGGCAGCAGCAGGGGTGGAGGCAGGTGCATCGAGAGCAGGGCTGCAGCGCACCAAGAGTGGTAACAAACTCAAGGCGGCAGTGGGGAAAAGCATCGCTGCCAAGTCCCCTGTGCTGCCTGCAAGGGCAGCACAAAGGGTGTATGTCGGCAAGTAGAGGGAATGCCATGCCACCAGGTGTAGCTATTCTGTTGAATGGACAAACCCCATGTGACCTGCATACCCAGCAATGCTGGAAAAGTAAATCAAATTAATTTAATAAAACCACTATATTCCACATAAGGTAGCATATCTATCATAATGCATGCGAGTCCTCTATGCAAGGACCTGATGCTAGTACCGTACCACTGCCCACAACAAATCAAATGGAAAGATCTCGTATGTGCCCAATGCAGTCCGCCCAATGCTGTCCACACAGTACCATGCGCACAGTGCTGTGTGCCCAGTGCCCACTGAACAAAGTGCCTGCACACTGCTCCCTGCCTAGTGCCCGCCCCAGCTTGCAAAGAATCCTCTCAAGTGGCCCTTCTTTCCATGCCCTGCCCCTGCCCCTGCCCCTGCCACTGCCACTGCACCCATCTCCCCTGCTGCCCCACCTGTCCCTGCTAGTGCGCCTGCTGCTGTTACCGCCACAGCATGTGGTGCAGGCAACCCCTCTGTAGGCCCACCTAGCTCCACCACACGCACCGCATTCCTAGCAGCCTGCGCCTTCACCCGCCTCTCCACACTCATACTCCTCTCAGGCACTCCCCCTCCCCTCCCCCCACCACCATCCCCACCGCCCGCCCCCATGCCCTGCCCTGCCTTCATCCCAATCCGCCCCCCAGCCCGCACCTGCTGCGCTGCTCCGGATGCCGGGCCTAAGCTGCAGCTTCGGAGAGGCGGGCCGACGTTTATGGGTTTGGGGGGGGAGCGGGGGCTATCAGCAGAGCACCAGGGAATGTCGAGCATGGGCAGGGAGGGAAAGTCCCTCCTAGCAGGGGGAGCGCCTACAGGAGTCTGGATTTCGGTGGGAGACAGGGGCTCTACAGGGTACAGATCAATTATTCCGTTCGGAAGGTAGGGCGGCGTGGGCGAGGGCGCTTTAGCTGACATGGACCGTGGCATTGCAGTTCGGCTGCTGCTGCTGGTGGAAGGTGATCCGTTATTGGCAGATCCGTTACTAGGGTTGAGACGTCCAGACTGTGCGCGGCGGAGGGCTTTCATTTGAAGTTTCCCTGGTCCGGGCTGGCGATAGGCGTATTCCGGCTGCCCGTTCATCTGCCCGTGGATATACCCCTGCCCATGGCTGGGACCGTGCTGCTGCTGGTAACCACCTTGAGGGATTCGCTCCAGCTCTTCGTCTGGAACGCTCATGCTTCGTGCAATCACAGATGGACGAACGTTCTGCCTCACTGGCTGTGCGCACTGCTGGTTACCAGGCTGGTTACAAGGCTGATTACCACTAGGCCGCGGCGCGTTACACCCCCCTGCAGCACCAGCAGCACCACGAGGGGCAATCCCCGGCCCTCCCTGCTTGCACCTGTCTAGATCCATCGAACCGCTCCCCATAGTAGCGCGATCCCCGCTGATGCACTTGCGCATTGACCGCGCCTGGTTGGAAGCCAGCCGCCCACCCGCAGCGTTCCCCGCGGGCAACCGCGCCCCGCAATTTCCGCCGCCAGTACCGGCGTACGAGGCGTTGCTACCATGCATTAGCTCCGCGGGCTCGTCGCCGACAGAAGCGCCGGCGATCGAGGCGGCTGCGTGGTCTAACGACGCCGCGGAAAGACTAACGGAGCGATTCTTCGTGGGGACGGCAGCGGCGGATGCGTAGCGCTTGTGCTGCGGAGGCGGGGGTGCGTTGATGCGCTGTTGGCGGTGCTGGTGGTGATGCTGCTGCTCGTGCTCCGCGGCGTAGTGTCCCGCTGGCGCTCTCTGCGAATAGTCCACTGACGCAGCGGACGCCCGTGTCCTGCTGCGGGTCACATACGTATCTGCGTACTCGTTACTAGACTCCCCGTTTCGGTTGGGTTCTCGGTACTCTCGAAGTTCGGACCGGCCGGCGGACTGCGATCGACGGTAACTGTTTGGCGGAACGCGCAATTGCTGCTGCTGCTGCGGCTGCTGCCCATATTGCTGCTGCTGGTGCGGGTGATGCCTTTCGGGGTGGGAAGCTGCCTGCGACGGCTGCTGCTGAGTCGCCGGCTGCTTCAGCGGACTAAGCCGCTCCCTCGCTCCCTCGTTACGACGTGAACTATGATCCCTTTCCCGTTCCCTCTCTCGCTCGTACCCGCCGCGTCTGGGACTATTCCGCTGCTGCTGCCTCGCGCTGTCGCCGCTCCTGCTCGCATCCCCCTTCCTCAGCGGCCTACCCTGCGACCGGTTCCGCGACTGTTTCCTGCACGAATCCGGCGACGGGCTTGACCGATTTGACCGGCTTGACCGGCTGGACCGGCTCGTCCTGGACGCGTTGTCGTCGGAACCGCTCCACGATTTTGCGTCACGCGGAGACTGCGTTGACTCTGGGGAACTCAACGACCGCCTTGACTCCGGCGAACGCGGCGACCGCGTAGATTCGGGAGAGCGCGGCGACCGCGTTGACTCAGGGGAACGCGGCGACCGCGAGCCTGAGCGACGGCGCGAGCTGCCGTTCGAGTCGCACCTTGTGTGGCGTCTGTCGCTGCTTCGAGGCGACGAGCGATTGCTGCTGCCGTCATTGTCGCTGCCGTCAACATCGCTGCCGTCATTGTCGCTGGCATCACTGGCTTCTTCGTTCTCGCTAAAGTCGTCGTCAGTACAGCTATCAGTAGCCTCGTCCTTACTCTCGTACTCAGTACTATCGTCGTCCAGGCACTTCTCGCTTGGCCGTCGGTCATGGCGGTCCGCTCTGTCTACACCGTCCCTTCCACTGCTTGCTGCTACCTTCTCCCGACCGTTGCCGCTACTGCTAGCGCCTCTGCCGCCGGCTCTCCCGCCACCTCTACCGGGAGCTCTACTCGTCCGGCTGTGCTCATCCTCCGAGTAGCTGTCAGCTGACACGTCATCATGACGACCCACGGGAGATTCAGCGCACTCCTTGCCCGTTCTGGCACGCTCGCGGCGCGTGCCAGATGTTCCGCGCGTTTGTGTGGAAGACTGACGTGGCGCACCTGTTGCGTAGCCCATAAAGACACTCCTTTTGGTTCCAGCACGCTTTCCGCTCTAAGCGGTTACAATTATAAAGACGCGGGCAAGCCGATGAACGTGTGTCAGTTAGGAGGCGAGCGAGAACACAGGGAATCTGAAGGATGCATAGATGGGAGAAGAGGATGTGGAGTAGGACCATGTCTGACGTGTAAATTGCACACTCCAAGGCAGGCTTGCTTTTGCTCGAGCGGAGGGGAATGGTTGGCTGCAGGGGAAGGCTGGCTTGCTTGGCTCTGCACTGCACTGCACCACCACGCGGGGTGACATGACCTGGAAGTTGTTGGCACAACAAGGGGAAGGGGACAAGGAGCCACCACCACCAGCTGGTGCGGGCAGCACCCTCAATGGTAGTACCGAAGGAGGTGAGCCCAAAACCGACCCTGCTTAGCTCAAACCATACCATACCTTTTCCGGCCTCTCAACTCGAACCAGGCCAAAGTTGGCCAAACCAAAACCTTTTCACTCGAACCAGACCAAAACTGGCCCAGGCCAGGGCCCCACGACAGCAATTGGTCTAGGGAAGCCACGTCACACGATTCTCTCGAAATGTCATTCGCTGTCGATTCATGTTATTGTCAGCCACAATACGTGAACCCCAGGTGTGTGAACAGTAGAGCCGTGTAACAGACCACTTCGCCAGCTACACGATATGTCCGCTATCCCCAGCAATCGTTTTCGCTAAACATTTCGCAAAACTGTCACAGGTATCTCTTCGCTTGGATCTGACAGAAGCCAAGTCCTTCCCAAGATACTCAGACCCAGCAGCAAGATATATCCAACCCCAACTCCTTCACACCCAAGTTCCTTCCAACGGCTAGGGTAGGTTCTCCTCAATTGGCTTGCTGACTGACATGAAACTCACACGAGCCGCTGTGTCTCAATTCGAATTGTCGGTTCGCCGTTCCCGCCGGTCGACAACGTCCACTCGATCAATCTGATCCCTAGATCTGTTTCGTAAGAAAACCATCCAACGATCTCGCTCATTCAGTCCCTCTTTTGTGCTGCAACGGCCATTCCTCCCGAAACCGAACCTCAATGTCCGAACCCTTTCGGAGCCGCGCGGCCTAAAACAAGGAGGACCTTTCCTTTTTGTCCCTTTTTCGGTAGCCGTGTAGCGAACCAAGAGTTGAGCCCCCCACACCCCAGTCCCCCTCACTCACTCGGGGTTGGCTGTGGAATGCCAATCTCGCGAGGCATTTTCGACAGAGGACAATCCAACCAGGGATTTTTCGAAGCGGCATTTCGACCAGGGGTTTCTCAGAGCGACATTTCCACCAGTCAGTTTAGACATTCGCACGTTCGTTTGAACATTGCGCTCGAACCTCTTCGACTCAAACGTAGTCGTAGATGAAGCACTTCGACCGGTCAACTGTCGCAGCTCGTTCACACACGCGGTTAGCGACAAGCCTCACGCGCATAAGGAGGATTGGCTCGTAGACTCGCTGCTGGTTGCGGAGCTTCGATGTGCTCTGACACAGGTAAATTTCTATTCTGCTTTATTTCAGCTCGCCGTTTCTGTCGATTTATGTCGATTTAGCCAGTTTCTGACGTGCGTATTCCTCGTCTGCAGGCAATGGAGCGTCGTCAGTCCGCTATCAATCTCTACTGTAGCTGGCCTACTTTGAACCTCAAATAGCACCGTCGTTGCAACGCCGAAACTGCACAGTACCACAACGTGCTTTCGCGGAGAAGGTGATGGCTTTGATGTTTTAGCCACCTTTTGTTGCATATTTCGATAGGATTTCTGATTCGACGTTAATTCAAGGTGTTTACAGGCAGTTGAGCATCCGAAAACCTGTCAACGTCCGCCATCCAACGTCGATTTCCGCCACAGCTGACTGATCTGCGTCGTCCGCTGCATTCGCGACGGGTTCAAGCGCACCAGCCACTGCGAGCTCGCGATTCCGCTCGTGGTTCAAGGTACAATCGAGAACTCACAATGGCTTTACGTTTATGCGCGTTAATTTTCAATTAAAAACACGTTTCAAGTATTCAAATCTCACAGATGCCTATGCTGTTGACTTTTCAGGTCCGGCAGCACGTCAGCCATGCTGAGACGAACACGCGATGGCAGAAACGCGGAGTGGTGGAGTCCATGAGGAGCCCGAAGCAGCATGCGCGCGTTTGACAACGTGCATGGCTCCCAGGCTTCACCTGTTGCCTCCAGCGATGACCGATCATCAGCTAAGTGCTCACATCCCATGTCAGCCCTCGGTTCGTTTCTTGTCATTACGGTTTCTCTCAAAACGAGCCAGTGGTGGCAGCACACGAAACAGCCCACAGACCCTCCCCATTACTGGTAAAGCCCCCCCCCAGGTAAAGCCTTTTTCCAGGTAAAGCCCTTTGGTAAAGACCGTAGTCTGTGGCTTGTGAGTGTGCGTCCACCAATGGCCCCTCCTTTCGCTCTTCCTCAAATCTACCACACTTGCATTCTCTTTGCACTGTGCCTCCATCCCATCCCACTCACTGCCTCTCCTTGTGCAACCCTCCCCTCCTCTCCCCCCCCCCCCCCTTCCCCTCCCTTCCCCTCCCCTCCCCTCCCTTCCCCGCTCCCGCTTCCAGGCCTCATCGCGAGCAGCAGTGGCAGGCAGACGGACGTGGGGCAGCATCAGCGTTCTCCTCATGCCTCAAGCCACTGGCGGCAGCAGACAACACCTGGTGGTGCCGGCACATGCTTCACCTGCCCTCTGCACACAACCACATAATCAGCTAAGTGCTCGCTCCTCCATGCATTCATTCTCGCTTCGATTGTCTGTCATTTCTGTTTCTCTCAAAACGGAACCACTGGTGGCAGCACACGAAACAGCCCACAGACCCTCCCCATTACTGGTAAAGCCCTCACCCAGGTAAAGCCTTTTTCCAGGTAAAGCCTTTTGGTATAGACCGTAGTCTGTGGCTTGTGACTGTGCGTCCACCAGTGGCCCTCCTTTCGCTCTTCTTCTATTCATGCATGCGTTCCCTTCCATGATAGTGACTCCCTCCCACTCACTGCCTCTCCCTCCCCTCCCATCCCCATCCCTCCATTCCCCTCCCCTCCCTTCCCATTCCCCCCTTTCCAACACCCCCTCGCAGGAGCTCAAGAGCAGCGCTGCTGGTCGCCTGAGACGCCATGCCATGCCTGCTGCCCACGCTGCTTCAACTGCCTCCTGCTCTCACGTCATCAGCTAAGCACCCGTTCCTCCATGCCCTCACCCTTGCCTGCCACCCCGTTTTCTTCGTTTCATCTGCTGTTGTACCGTCCTCTTGAAACTTTTCCACTGGTTGGGCACAGCTCGCATGCTACAGACCTCCCTGCTTCAGGTGATTCCCTCAGGTGCAGGTAACCCTCTCAGGTGGAGGTACACCCCTCAGGTTCTTTTTCAGGTGCCCTTGGGTCTGTAGCTTGTGGCCGTGCCTCCACCAGTGGCTCCTCCCTCTTCTCTTGCGCTGTGTGCTCATCCACACCCATTCACCTTGCTCCCACCACCGTGCTCTCACTAGCTCTGTGTGTGCGCATTGCAGGTGGCGGGGAGGGGTGTGAGGTCTACACCGACGCTCCCTCACGCCCCTCCCCTGTGGCCGTGCAGGGACGCGCACGGGAAGGCGGGGAGGAGGGCTGCCATTGAGGGAGGCAGCTGGAGGTGCTGCAGCTGCCTTGATCTCGCCCTCACACGTCAGTTAAGTAACTCTCCTCCACTCTCTCACCCTTGCCTGCTGCATCATGCCTTGTACATTTCTTGGCGCAATTTCATTTTCTGGTTGTGCTTTCGCCCTTCCCTTTTAAATCATGCCACTGGTTGAGTGAAGTTCACAAGCCACAGACACCCTCACTTCAGGTAACCCCCTCAGGTATGCAGGTAACCCTCTCAGGTGTGCAGGTAACCCTCTCAGGTGCAGGTTCCCTTGGTGTCTGTGGCGTGTGGCATTTCCTCAACCCGTGGCCCTCCCTTCTCTTCCAGTTTTGGCAGTTTTCAGTTTCTGGCTTGTGCTTGCACCCATGCCATGCATACTGACCACCGCCGTGTGTGTGCATTGCAGGTGGAGGGGAGGGGCGTTGGGGTCTACACCGACGCTTCCCCACGCTCCTCCCCTGTGGCCATGCAGGGACTCATGGGGACGGGAGGGAGGCAGCGCTGTAACATGGCAATCCCACTGCAGCAAGGGAGAGTATCGGGATGGGCTTGGCCTCTCAAGGTGAGCCTCTTACCTCTCTAACCCGCTGCACTCGTTTTCTGCAAGTTGCCCTCTCGCGCTCATTCGTTTGATTCGCCCTTGCCTGTTTCAAGGCCTGCACTCACTCCCCTTCTGGCCTTCCTTCCGTTCTGCCCCTTTCCAGAGACGGCTGGCGGGACCAGTTGTGGCAGCATCAGCAACGGGGAGCACTGATGCAGCAGGGGAGGGGAGGGGAGGGGAGGGGCCATAATTCAGGAGGGGAAGGGGAGGGAGGGAGCCCTGCAGCAGACTCAACACACGGGAGAGTATCGGGATGGGCTTGGCCTCTCAAGGTGAGCCTCTTACCTCGCTTTCCCGCTGCACTCGTTTTCTGCTCAGTTTGTCTCTCGCGTTCGCCTCTCTGATTCGCCCTTGCTTGTTTCAACGCCTGCACTCACTCCCCTCCTGGCCTTCCCTTCCGTTCTGCCCCCTTCCAGGTCACTTGCAATGCTGCAGAGACAGCTGACGGGACCAGTTGTGGCAGCATCAGCAGTGGGAAGCACTGGTGCAGCAGGGTAGGGGAGGGGAGGGAGGGAGACATGAGGCAGCAGCTCTCGGCGGTTCTTCAGTTGCCAGCTAAGTGCTTTCGCCTCCATGGACTCACTCTTGCTTGCTGCTCACTGCTCATATTGCCCTCCCAAGTCTTTTTCGCACGGGCTCCTGTGTTTAAACTCTGAAATCTTGCCACTGGTTGGGGCCCGGTTCACAAGCCACACACACCCGCACTTCAGGTAACCCCCTCAGGTGTGCAGGTAACCCCCTCAGGTGTGCAGGTAACCCTCTCAGGTGTGCAGGTAACCCCCTCAGGTGTGCAGGTAACCCTCTCAGGTGCAGGTTCCCTTGGTGTCTGTGGCGTGTGGCATCGACTCAACCAGCGGCCCTACCTACCTCTTGTGGACTAGACAGTTTCTGGTCTGTGACTTGTGCTTGCGGCCATTTCATGCACACTGACCATTGCTGTGTGTGTTCATTGCAGGTGGAGGGGGAGGGGCGATGGGGTCAACACCAACACTTCCCCACGCCTCTTCCCGGTGGCCGTGCAGGGACTCGTGGGGACGGGAGGGAGGCATCGCTGCAGCAGATGGCAATCGCTGCCACAAGGGAGAGTATCGGGGTGGGCTCGGCCTCTCAAGGTACGTCGGCTTTCTCCTTGCCCTCAACCTCGCTTTCTGCTGCTCGTTTCTCTTCACTCTTAGCATCAGTGCCTCCCCCTGCTGCTCAACTTTCTGTTTCGCCCTTGCTTGGGCCAAGGCCTGCACTCACTCGCCCCCTGTCCTTCCCTTCCGTTCTGCCCCCTTCCAGGTCACTCGCTAGTCACCACAGGAAGCAGCAGCAGCAGCAGCAGAGGCCAGGGGTGAGGGAGGGGGGAGAGCGCACAAGGAGCAGGGGAGTGGAGGGAATGAGTCAAGTCAACAACTTCAGCTGCCAGCTAAGTGCCTTCTCCTCCCTGGACTCACCCTTGCTTGCTGCTCTTTCCTCACATTGCTGCCTGATTCAATGTCGCGTGTGCTTCCGTGTTTTCTCCTTGAACAACTCGCCGCTGGTTGAGTCCTGATTTGCAAGCCACAGACCACCACCCCCCACTGCAGTTCCTAAGCCCCTCAGGTTAAGCCGGCCCTAGCCCTTGCAGCCCCCTCAGGTTACCCCCTACTTTCAGGTTCACTTTTCAGGTTTCCCTTGATGGTCTGTGGCTTGTGATTCTTCCCTCCACCAGTGGCCCCTTACCTCACCTTTGCGTTTGAAGTCAACTGCTGCCATGTCTGCCTTGTGTTATGATTGCGCACTGACTACCTCTGCTTGTGTGCGTTGCAGGTGGAGGGGAGGGGCACTGGGATCGAAACCGACGCTCCCCCACGCCCCTCCCCTGTGGCCGTGCAGGGATCCGTGGGGATGGGAGGACAGCAGCACTGCAGCAGATGGCAATCGCTGCCACAAGGGAGAGTATCGGGGTGGGCTCGGCCTCTCAAGGTATGCCAACTTCCTCTTTTGCCTCTTAGATATTCCCTCAATTTTCTTTCTGCTGCATGTTTCTCTTCTGTCTTACTGTCATCGCTTTTGTGAGTTTCTTTCTCTTTCTACTTCTGGCAGCTTTACCCTCTGCCATGTTCTCGCGAACCCTTACTCATTGTTTCTTCTTCTCCTTTCTGCCCGCCACCAGGTCACTTGGCATCAAGGGAAGAGTGCAGCTGAGAAGCAGACCGGCAGCAGCAGCTGTAGCAGCTGAAGCGGAGCAGCAGCAGCAGCTGTAGCAGCAGTGGGGGTTGGGGGGCTAGAGGGCAGGCTAGGCTAGGTCGAGTCATGGTATGCAAGGTGTGGTAACAGGTAAGGTATGGTTACAGGTGAGGTTATCTGTCCCCCTCCTTTCTTTCTCTCCCCATCTCTCCCGCAGCCTGAGGATGGGAGCACTGGAGCAAGGGCGGAGTGTGGAGTCCACCGTCTCACTCACCTCCTCCTCTCTCCCTCCTCCCTCCCACCCAACAGCACCCTGCCTGGACCACAGTGGAGTCCCACCCTCTCTTAATCCCCCCCTCCCCACTTCCCAGCAGCCTCAGGCATCATGGCACTGCACGGCTCTGGTAGGTACAGGTAAGTAGAGGTAAGCAGGCATGGGGTGAAGGGATGGGGGGAGGTGGGCGGGTGGAGGGGCAGCATGGGAGCAAGTGGGCAGCACACTCTCTCAGGGGCGGCACCCTCTGGGGTTGTGGCTTGTAGGTGGGGTGTGGTGGGTGGAATGTGCGTGGCGGCGGCACTCGGTGCTCAAGTAACCGATCTGGCGTTCAAAGCTTAATGGACACCGTCAGAGCCGAACGGCCGGCGGCTCTGGTTCGCGTCAGCTCTAGCTACGTCAGGGGTGGGATTTGAGTCTTGGGCCAGATCATGCTTTTCCACTGCCATACCTCCCCTGCAAGTCACATCCACTGAAGCTGCTGTTTCCGAAAGGGAGTGGGCTGTCTGCTGCTCCTACTGCTGGGGGATGGGCTGGTAAGTTGTGGGGGTTTGCTATTGTATGGTATGATATTATGTGGTATGCTATATGATATGGTTTGCTACTGTATGGTATGATTCTATATGGTATGCTACTGTATGGTATGCCACTGTATGGTATGTGACTGTATGGTATGCCACTGTATGTCATGCTACTGTATGGTATGATATTACATGGTATGCTACTGTATGGTATGATTTTATATGGTATGCTACTGTATGGAATGCTTTAGTATGGTATGCCCCTGTATGGTATGTATGCTACTGTATGGTATGCCACTGTATGGTATGATACTGTATGGTATGCTATAGTATGGTATGCCACTGTATGGCATGCTACTGTATGGTATGATATTTTATGGTATTCTAGTGTATGGTATGCTATTGAATGCTATGCTACCGGATGGTATCCTATTGTATGGCATGCTACTGTATGGTACAAATAATATAGTATGATACTGTATGGTATGATACTATAAGGTATGTTACTGTATGGTGTGATACTATATGGTATGATAATGGAAGGTATGGTACTATATGTTAGTGGCTGTATGATATGATACTGTATCATATGATGCTGTGTTACGATGCTGTATAGTATGCTAATATATTGTATAAAACTGTATGGAAGGATACTGTATTGTATGATGCTGTATGGTATGATGCTGTCTGCATGTTGTGTAGTATGTTGGCGTGTGTTATGATACTGTGGGGCATGCTATTGCGTGGCATGATACTATCTACACATTGTATGATTTGGTGTCTGATGTAAGGTTTTGGCAGAGCATTATGTGGGATGACATGGTTTGGCATGTCATTGTGTTCATGCCATGGCGTGGTTTGGGGTGTCCCATGCTGTGGGATGCGATGCTCTGCATTTGCATGGTTTTGCATGCCATGCTGTGGTGTGCCATAGTATGGCATGCCATAGCGTGGCATTCTGTTGTTTAGTGTGTCCGCCTTTGGTGCCATTGTGTGGTGTGCCATCTTTTGGCATGTTATGATGTGGCATGTCATGGTGTGGCATGTTATGGTCTGCCATGTCATGATTCCATCTGCAGGTTGGCAATTGCTGGAGGCAAGTGGAGCACGATGGAAGGCAAGGAGACCACATGGGGAGGGAGAATGAGAAAGTAGAAGAGAGGTGCATTGCATTGCCTTTTCTGGGAAGCTTCCATGGAGAGCGAAGCGACCGTAGAGGGCTGGAGAAGATGAGGTGTGGGCCATGTAGCAAGCTCTCTCAAGTTGATACCGTCATCGCCCGGATAGAAGACATATATGTCTCATCTTATACATTAGAAAAAAAGCTTGCTGTGTCTTGTAATTGGGACGGTTGAGGGTGTCTTATAATTCTTATAAATGGACAAAAAACCGTTTAGAAGATACCCCCTAGTCATAAGATTGCCCCTAATCCCTATACTGGCCTAGCTCGTACACACCGACAGCTGTCATATAATCAGGAACACCCATCTATAAGAAACACCTGTTTTAACGACACCCCATGTCTTCAATTCGACACTGTCTTATATCCGGGCGATGACGGTATCATGGGATATAATATTGTTACACTTAGGGATCAACCATAGAGCTACTTTTCTTGAATAGTCATTGAAGCCTGATAGTTGAACCCCTGAATAGATATGTTCAATGGTGTTGCGGATGTTCGACAAATTTCCCCAAATTTGATGTACTGTCAACAATATAACCAGGTTAGCTATTTATGTTTGTGCTGTCATATCAAACACTTTTATTCAAAAGAATCTGTTCTCACATATGATCTGATAAGTTCTGTGCTACTTCATCCGTTGGATCACGATAATCACAATCATGGTACTTGATCGATGATGTTGCAGATGTTGCGGATGTTACACAAATTTCCCCAAATATCTTGCTATCCTTGCCGGAAGCGTTAGGCTCGACGTTCTTGGCGACACCCACGAGTTTCGCAAGAGTCTGTCCTTCGAGCAAGGGACTGATGCAACGCAGAAGCGAAACAACAATTTCGTCGCAAGTGGCATTACGCTTGTCGCACAGACATTTCGTCACTAGGCCGTTTGTTGAAAATCACGCGCGGGCGAATCTTGTGGGCGGTGCTTCCGCCTCTGCCGCTTGGCCCACCCCGGGATTGGTTGGGATGATTCTAGGCTGTGCTGAACCACTCCTGTGACTGCCCAGCGGAAACTGGGAGAAGGCAGTCACACAACACTCTCAAACCACCAACCATCTCAACCGCGCTCAACATGGTTATGTAATGTGCCGATTCCATTTCTGGGAGTACCAAATTGGCCCAACCGAACAGGCACATCCCATTCCCATCCCATCGCCTCATTCTTTCCGCTCCATCTCCTCGTTTTTCCTCAACAGACAAATGTCTCCTCAATTCTCGACTAGAGCCTCTCACACGTTTACTTCACGTTTTCTTCATGCTCGCGACTGGTTCTGGATGCTAGTTTCGTTGTCACTGGCGACGATTTCTATCTTCCTCCCAACGATTTGTTCTCGCGTCAATGACTTTATCTAGTGGTCGCTCGCTGGCTGCGTTCCACGGTAGCGTTTCCAGGGGGGGCCGATACGACGATGAAGCAATGATAGTTCGTCCGACAAGGTTAGTCCCAATCATGTTTCATCGCTGCGAGATTTCATCGTCGTTCTATTTGTCGTTCTTGAGAATCCACTTTTCGTTGTCGCACATCTCAGATGCTCCTTTCCCTATTTGCACATAGTGTCTCACCCTCTCACCAGATGCACCCGCTCAACCGACCACGTGCCGCCGTGGCGACGCAATTTCTCATTCCGACAAACGGTAATCCTTTCTTCGACCGTCTGAGAAAGTAGAAACGAGAATGAATGAACTATGAATGAACTGAGTACAAGTACTAACCCTAATTGGGTTGTACCCCTTGTGGGCTACCCCACTATAGCCTACACAATAAGCACAAGCTATATGTTTTGACACACCCCCATAGGCAAAGTGGGGGAGAACAAGGGGTCACAAGACCAGTCAAGCAAAACAAAGCAAAGCAAGCTCATGGTGGATCACAAAGTCACCACACATTCCGAGCACAAGTTCAAGGCCACAAGGCCAGTTCACATGCAGGAGTACATATATATATAAGGCTAGACAAGCAAGAGCAGGTATATATATATGTAACAGTACAAGCAAGGTCAAGAGGTGAGCAAGTGAGGCAAGACAGGTACAAGACCCAGCTGCGTGCAGAAGCGCTGATGATCACAAGGCGCAAGTGCCTTCGTGAAGACATCAGAAGTGTTGGCCTCAGAGGCCACGTACGCAAGCCGCAGCTGACCACGTTGCTGTAGCTCACGAGCAAGGAAGTAGCGAAGAGCAATGTGCTTTGTTCTGTGCTCCAGTCTCTGCTCTCGACACAAGGCCAGCATGGCCTTGTTGTCTACGTACAGGACCGGAGGAGAACGAGGCGACTCTCCAAGGTCGGTCAGCAGGTAGGTGAGCCAGCGAAGCTCCTGTGCAGCCATGGCCCCGGCGTAGATCTCAGCCTCACAACTGGAGCCGAGAACAGAAGACGAGCGAGTAGCCCGCCACGAAACAGAGCCGAAACCACGGCTGAAGGTGTAACCCTGTGACGACCGCTGCGTAGCCTGGTCGTCAGCCCAAGAAGCGTCCGCGTGCCCAGTGAGGACTACTGGACTCCGCCCTCCAAGCACTAGCCCCATGCCCGACGTACTGCACAAGTAGCGCAACACCCTCTTCGCTGCAGCCATGTGCTCTGGTCGGTGTCTCCCAGGAGCAACATAGCGTGCGAGAATGCTAAGAGGGTATGCAAGGTCAGGTCGTGTGCAGGTCATCAGGTACATGAGACAGCCAACAAGCTCTGGATACGGGCCACTCGACTCTACGGACTCATCCGAAGGCAGAGCTGAGAGCGAGTGGCGAGTAGGCAGAGGAGTGGCCTGAGGCGAGGAGTACGTGAAGCCGAAGCGCTGAAGGACCTGCTGCACCATGTGTGACTGAGTCAGGGTAATGGTGCGGCGTGCTCTGTCCCGGGTGATCTGCAAGCCAAGGTAGCTGCGCAATTTACCCAGGTCTGTGCACGTGTGTCTCTTCTGCAGCTCGGACTTCACGTAGGCGAGTCCAGCAGTGTCCGCTGTGGCAAAGACCAAGTCGTCGACGTACACGAGGATGTAGAACGGCGGCAGAGAAGTGTCGGTGCGCAGAAACAGCGACGGGTCGGCAGTAGAAGGAACAAACCCAAGAGCCGCAAGCGTAGTCCTCAGTGTGTCGTGCCACTCACGTGGCGCCTGGCGGAGACCGTAGACTGGACGCCGGAGACTCCACTGGGTACCAGGAGGAAAAGACCAAGTGAAGCCAGGTGGGCGGCGCAGCCAGATCTCCTCGTGCAGGCTGCCCTGCAAGAAAGCTGTGCTGAAGTCGAGAGAGTGCAGCTCGTAGTCACGGTGAGCAGCAACGTGCAGCAGTACCCGAAGAGTGGTCATCTTCGGGGTGGGAGAGAAGGTCTGAAAGTAGTCAACTCCTTGCCGCTGACTGAAGCCACGAGCCAC